ACCTGGGGCGCACCAACGGTAAGGAGGCGTATCATGTGTCCCAACGGGATGAAGAAACTGCTCTATTTGAGACTGAATGTGAGAAGGACCTAGGTGTGTATGTTGACAATGAGCTGAAGTTCTCGGGCCATTGCGAGAAGAAGGTAAATCAGGCAAATAAATTATTGGGTCTTCAAGAGTGAAGTGCTTCCCCATCTGGAGTACTGTCACCCCGTCTGGTCCCCGAGATATGCTAGGGACTGTCAGTTGGTTGAAAATGTTCAAAGGAGGGCCACCAGACTGGTGCCTGCACTTCGGCACCTCAACTACCCTGAGAGATTGGAGCGCCTGAACTTGCCTAGCTTATACTACAGACGGGCAAGGGGCGACCTAACTGAGAAGTATAAGCATCTCAAGGGGCACTACTCAGTCGAGTGTCCTTACTTGGAGCTGGCGGACGCTCGCCCCACAAGGAGTGAGAGTTGTGAACTTTTGGGACAATCTACCAGAAAGTGTTGTGACGGCACCGAGTGTGAGCTCTTTCAAGACCAAACTTGACCAACACTGGAGCAGGTTCAGGTGCATTCAGGAGCCGGTGCATGCCCAGTATTTGCCAACAGTGCGTAACAGAGACGTGACCGATCTCCCAAGCGGCTAACGAGCCGATCATATGGTGAAGAGGATAAAAGAAAAAGTAAAGTAACAGAGACGTGACCGATCTCCCAAGCGGATAACGAGCCGATCAGCGGTGAAGAGGATAAAAGTAAGTGAAAGAGAGTGTCTGTTGGGATCGAACTGGGTTGTGGACCTTCTGTCTAGGGCCAAGGCCTACAGTAGGCTTTGGTTCACCCGGATTGAGGTTTTGGAGGTTTAGACTTTTGGTGATGTCAGTTCTCAGATAAAGGGACTGTAGAGGTATCTTATGTCTCTACCGTAACTTACTGCAGTTATTTTATATGTGGATATTAATCGTCTTAATTAATATAAATATTTTAAGGTATAGAAAAGGAAAACAAGTTTTAATACTTAGAAATATGAATCTTTTTCTTACGTAACCGGTTTGGATTTCTTGATGTAGGAGGTCAGTAGTTGGTCATAGATCCTCGGTGGGATCACTGCTTTCCCTCACCGTCGTCCATGTCTTGTGACAAGAACGAGTGTCCACAGGAGTCCTCTGGCTGGCCTTCCCTCCACCTCCACTATTAATCAGGCCTCCATCACTTCCCTCTCCTAACTCTACCTTCATTTATCATGATGCAACTCACTTCAACAGAAGTGAAATAACACCTTATCTATACAAAGAAAAACTCAGTGTTTGTCGTTATACGAGTCCGCGTCGTGAAGTGTAATCCGGTTCACTCGCTACAAAAACCTCGGAAAAATATTTTGCTAGACAATATGATACAACGGACGAATGATTTTGACAGCCCTACAAGACAACAGAAGTCTTATTGTTCATTTTGACATCCATCGGACCCCACCTTGCAGATGCAGCTCCCGTTGTACTCCCTGTACAGTACTTTATCTTTTAGTTCTATAACACACATGAACATCACTACACTTTCTTTCCGCATACTAATTTAAGTATTTGTTTGTTCGGTAACAGTCTTTTTGACTTAATAAACTCCCAATATGAGAGTATCTTGATATATATTTCATTTCAGTCTGCATTAATCATATATCCAACAGTATTAGAGATTATTGTGTGTAACTGAGGGAGAGCTAAAGACCTCGACCTGAATCTCTAAGGTGACGAGAGTAAAAACTCAAGGGACGAAAGTTTTAAAGAAACCAAAAGAATGAATTTTCAACATACTGTGTTAGGACGCAGCAGTGCAGGACGTCCGGGGCCGAGCCCGTATCCTTACTCTTTCTTTCATCACCGTGACAAACATTGTGTGTCATATCCACCAAGGGCTCAGCTCTCCCATCATGTTGACAGACTTTTTCTGTTCAGAGCACACCACATTGTCATACTCATTACCTGCGCTTGCTGTGCAAAGTTTTTTCTTCAATTTTGTTACAATTGACAGCTACCTGAAAGCGTTGAATTTGTTGCTGCTTTCCAAAATTATGCAGAGATACAGACCACCATTTCTGTGCTCCAGGAAACGTCAATTCCTAGTAGAGGTACAGCTTCAATAATTGGTCAAGGTAAACGCTGGAGATATTGCCTGGTTCAGAACGGTAAGACGTGGTATTATTGGTGAGCACTATGTATGTCCGGGGAAACAGTGTACAGGTTACATAGTTATTTCTTAACACCGACAAAATTATAATGACAATTAAGACAATATTCAGTTTATATCATCCAGTTCCACAACACTTTCTTGAAAAAAATTCCCAAAACATTTTTCCTAACGGGATAAACATTCCCCCCTTACCCGCCCTACGACACGTAAACCCTGCACTGTGGCACTGATGACTCGCCATGCTGAGCTGAATTAGTAATTATAAGATGTTATTGTAAAAATACGATTCTTTAATTTATTTCGTGCCAATATCAAATATTTACCTTATTTAATGGTCATCCAAACTAGAGGTAGTCATGTCGAGGGAAGAGGGCCATGGCCACCCAAACTAGAGGTAGTCATGTCGAGGGAAGAGGGCCATGGCCACCCAAACTAGAGGTAGTCATGTCGAGGGAAGAGGGCCATGGCCACCCAAACTAGAGGTAGTCATGTCGAGGGAAGAGGCCATGGCCACCCAAACTAGAGGTGGCCATGTCGAGGGAAGAGGGCCATGGCCACCCAAACTAGAGGTGGCCATGTCGAGGGAATGGGGATACGGTGGATTTCCTTTTAGAATGAATTAACAAATTTGTCTCCGTGTTATTAGTTATTTGTATTATAATATTGGGATCACCTGAGGATTCTCACCCCCAGCTTATTTCACCTGAAGATTAATCACCCTAATACTATTTGGGTGGTGGAGATGTTAGGTTGATTAATCTTGGGGTGAATTAAGCTGGGGAGTGGAAGGGAGAATCTTCAGATGAGCTCAATTTTTGCTTTGAGTTTTTGTCATTGGTTCCATCTTAATAAAACTTGAATGAATCAAGAAGTATTGTGGAATATCAATACGGAGATCGATAGTTTGGAAGCAATATCAGTCGTTTGAGTTTTTCCCGTTGATGTCGCAAACTACCTACCTGTATTATAATTGCAATAGCCTTTTTTTTTGTCGAAATGGATTTATATAAATTAGTGGATTATATGCTAAGTACCGTACTACATTTAAATACAAATATTTCTTCTCTGGTTTGATGGATGCGTAATTTAAACACCAATTAGACCTATGTGTTCATTAATTTTCTCAACCACTTTACTCATAAGTACTTACACGCCTGGTAATACACACATAATTAAATGCATTAAATTAGTATTATACATGACAGTATATGTATATAGATATAACATTGGTCTTTGTTTACAATAAGACTTTTGACACAACTTCAATAACAGTGAAGCTACCTGTTGCCAATTACCCAATATTTAAATACAACACTATCTCATAATGTTTTATATAATCAACTGAGATTCAAAGTAAACTAAATTAGAAAAAAAATATATATTACAAAAAGATCATAGAGCGTTATGATAAGAAGAAAGGAAATAGTAAATAGTTATTCAAAAGTGGCGGCTGGTAAGGTTGACTGAGCCTCCCACAGATGGCCACAGTTGGTTTGTTGATCTCGGATTGTCTGTCAGTGTAAGCCTCTACATATTCAATTCTTGTTTATAGACGACAATAACCCCTTTATACGGCGTCCTTCAACCCCTTTTGATATACCACACTATACTATGGATAATAGAGCATATAATTCACAATACCCGAGGCTCGTAAGTCTCAACAGTAGGGAAATAAGTCTCTTTCTCTGAGAATTTTTCCTGCCCCGTTTGGTGTTCTCAGTCCGGTTCAGCGTCATATAACCTAAGTACTCTTTTGGCAGTTGTGACCTGGTTTCATAGTTAATATCGGGAAATAGGTCATAGGTGGATTATTTGGATGGTTAACTAATCTTTTGTTAACCTCAAAACTGGATCCTATTATTCCTCTTACCTTGAAAAGTTTTTGGCCGTATTTCTTTATTGTGATTTTATGATGATTAATGTTATTTATGTGCTGTAATGTACTGTATTAAGAAAGTTTTATGTGCCTTCAATCTTCTGAAATATTAAAAAAGAGGAGAATGTTATAGTTATCATTGGTAATATTCAAATGAAGCCAAGGTCAGTTAAGTCTCCCAAGATACTGTGTTGTACTGTGAGAGATTGATGAAGGCTCTTAATGTCTGGTGGCTATAATTGATGTGTAGAGCTGAGGAGTTTTTACTTAGCTTCTTTCTGTGTGAAATGTGAAAAAAAAAAAATCCCAAGGTATAGTAAGGTACGTATATGCTTATCAGTCTTTAGAAAGTAACTTAGCAGAATATTAGTAAGTATAGTCTTAAGTGCATTAGTAAGTATAGTTTTAAGTGCATTATATACGTGAAGTGACTGATCAACCTTCTAGATAGCTTACAGCTCTGACCGCTTATTGTCTCCTCAAAAAAGCTGGAAAAACAACAGAAGCACTCACTTAGGATTTTATTACTTCTGCCATTGCCATTGAATGCTTAGAGGAGAACTAGACTGCATTACTAGGTAAAATTTTAGTTTCGGTCATCCCCCTGTTTAGATATCCATATCGTTCAAAAAAAAAAAAATAGCAAACCATAATTTGAATACCTAACCTAACCTAACCAGTAAAAATTCCCAGATGACTGAAACTAAAGTACCCATTACAGTACATTACTCTGTTCTACCACTGTTCGTTATATTGGGTTTCCTTTATTTATCTACTTTGTCTTCTAGAGAATTTGGTACAGTAGCTAATTGCTTATGAGAGTTGTACACCAGAACGAGCCATAGAAGGATTATTTTATATTTAAGAAAAGTGGATGGAGGTGTCTTGTAGGCGTATTATGCCTAAATACTGGTGTGATTTTTTAAGATGGTATTTTTTTTCACAAAATGCAGATTTGTTGGGAGAGCAAAAATAATCTACGAGTCTACTCTATACTTAAGAAATGGCAAGTAAGCTGTGGTTCATGTAACCTTTGGCATTTTAATGTCGGTAATACTTTACAACACTTGCATATGTAAACTACCTATTTTTGACAAATGCATTCAAAACATTCCTGACCTTGAGAATATAATAGATAAGGACAAAGATTTGCAGTATTTGTGCTTTTGTTTTTCCTATTTCTGTATGAATAATAGACTTCTAACTGCAAGAGTAACATTCCTTGTGCAAATGCTTAGTTTTTAATATATTTACCCTCAAACATTAGGTATCTACCATTTTTGGTGCATATTGTCTTCTGCTGTTTGTTTGCAACCGACCCGCTCGATCTGAGTGTACTCTCACGTCCACCAAAAAACGTAAGGTAAATATTGACGACTAACCAGCTGATGCATTAATTATTTTGATGTTCATTTTCTTACTATATTTTCATCAGTGAGTTCAGATATGATAATCATTTTTGTATTGCAGTATTTCATGTCACCTGGTATTGAATTTGAGAACTTTATGGTTGCAATCAATAGTTAAAACAATTCTAAAACACTTTTCTTCTACGAAGTTTCCTTCACAAATGAATTATATATGCCAGGGGGTCCAAGGGGGCAGAGCCCTCTGGTCAGGAGACTTGGTTAAGTCATTTGCGAGAGAAATGTCATAGAAGAAAAGTGTCAAAGAATTGTCTAATATGTTGATTGCAATCATTAAATTCTCAAAATTTAATACCAGGTGACTTGTGCAAATTTACCATAATTTCTTGTGCAAATACAGTCAACCCTCGCTTTACGCGGTCCCACATTCCGCGTTTCCATGTTTACGTGGTACCCTGCCGAAACCGGAATGCTCACATTCCGCGGTGCGTGTACCCCTTTACGCGGAGAGCGGCTGGCGAGCCGCGCCACTTTTGGATCCAAACCTCCCGCCATCCGCCATGTTGTGTAAGCGGCGCGAGCAGGGTGCGCACAAGGTCGCCCAGTCATCAAAACATTACCGAGTTCTTCACCCGCCACCCACCACAGCCGGCCCAAGTCAGTGATAGTGATAATTATAGTGAGGATATGGACTTATATGGACTTTGAGGGGTTTGACAAAGAGGCCCTGCAAGCCTCTGTGGTGGATAGTGATACAATTGTTACAAGTGATACAGGTGAGGGCCAATAATCTGCCCTCTGCCTCGGAACCAACCTCCCACCCCCGTGTGCCCAACCATCTTTTCTATTAATGTAAGTGTTAAAAAACCTAATATTATTGATATTTTCTTAATTATTAATTGTGTGTGCATACCATCATAAAATTAAGAAGTTATTTTTACTACAATGTAGGTATTGTGTCTGAAAAAGTGGAGTTTGGGGGTCGGCCCAGTCTCTATTTCAATTAATCCCATATGTTATGTTGTTCACTTTACGCGTTTCTCACTTTACGCGGGCCGCCGTGGGTTGAATTAACTGCGTAAAGTGAGGGTTGACTGTACTTCCTTTAATCCGTCCCACTGCTAGGAAGTTAGGTAGGTTTCTTTGATTAGGTTGGTGAGTTTTCTAACATCGCTTTTCCCACTTGTTTTTCTTATCAACTAAAGATGGTTTGGTTAAAATTATAAATAACCACTTTTTAACACTTGCACAAACTACAACAGTGTCCACTACAGTATAAAACACAGTGATCTTGCTACTTTTTAAAATCGTTTTCTATGAAAAATTAGCGGCTGGTCAGTCATCAATAATTACTAAACGTAAAATTACTCCATGACACTTCAAGAATGTTGCTTTTATAGGCACCAGATATCAAAATAAGTACTTTCTGTTTAATATGGCAGGGTGGGGGATCCCTTAGGATAGGAAGTTAAGTAAGGTTAAGTTGATTTTCTAGGATAAAATGGTTCCTTTGCAATGGAAAGGAAGGTCAGATTCATTTGAAACACAAAATACACAATGAAAACCAATTTTTGCAAGTACAATACACCACTTCCTTCAAATTCATGGGGGTTGGCTTCTCAAAATGGCCGCGAATCGCCAAATCCCCAAATAACATTTGCTGACCGGGGGGGTGGGGTGGTTACATTTTTACTTGTTTAAGACAAAATGTATATTCCCTTTGTGTTTGCCCTCAGGACAATTATTTCTTTTACCTGTATTGTATATACGGTATGTGTGTGTAGATACACAAAATACATACAAATAAATAATAATGGGAAAATCTTCTCACAAATAATCAGAAACAAATTTATTAATAATGTGACAGTCTACCCTCAAGTCTACTCCATGCTTTGTTATTAATAAATCACGGAGTAGACTTGAGGGTAGATTCACATTTATAATAAAATTGTTTCTGATTATTTGTGAGAGGATTTTCCTATTATTATTTATTTGTATGTGTTTTCTGTGTATGTGTCTACACACACACATAAATACAATACAGGTAAAGGAAATTACTGTCTCTCGAATGAATGGCTACCTGTCAAGGCTGCGAAAATGCCGGCAACTTTAAAACCACCTGCAGACATTCTTGGGTACATCCAGGGTGTCATCCGCAAAATATCCGGGCATACTGTAGTTTCCGTGGAGTACATAAGACGAATCTTTACCAATGTAAGCATTTGCATGGAATGATGGGTGAAAGCATGCATTTGCTGGGAAGCATTTGCTTGTCCTCCACATATGAAGCAGCAAAATGGATCAAGATAGGTTTTGCGTTTGGAAGTCCGATATCTATTTATAGGAAAAGGTACGAATAACAAGATTACGAAAATTATAAATATTATTTACTATTTTCTCAGTAAAGAATAAGCTGTTGTAGTTTGTCAAATACTGTAGCTGGTTTATGTGCCTCTGTGTCATTAAGCACTACCAAAACTTAATAGAAATCTGTGTGATTATATTAGAAATGAACAACTGTGCAAAATGTATTTGTTCTTTGCAAATGCCTGCCTCTGTGACATAAAATTCACAGGTAAATATATTTTTTAAATTCAAAAAGAAATTAGCTACTTCTGCAATAGTTCTTATATCCATGATTTAAAAAATAAAAAAAATCACAGAATTACAATAGTGCTGCTATGCTCATGTTGTACTTCAGCTGCAAAGCACAAGGGATTGTGGGTGAAATTGGTGGAACACATACTGTAAGTAAAGGGATAGCAAACCGGTGGCACATGTTCCCACTGTGGCACTCCAAAGGAATTAGGTTGGCGCACCTTGGTAATCCTGATGCAGATGTCATATATGGCAGTTTTGGCTGAGATACCACCATGAGGCAGACCTATCATATATATAATTTATATCCCTATTTATATCATTATATCATGGCCAGTTTAGGTGCACAACTTTCATAACATTTGCTACAGCTATCCTCCACTTTTTTTCATACCAAAACCAAATTATTATACAGTATTGTTATGTACTACAGAATTTCTTACAGTATTCAGTTGTAATGTTGTACAGTGCATCATTCTGTATCTCTAGATTCAATTTTTTTTTTGGGAATCTTCAGATAGAGTTTAGTAATTTGTTGAAGCTGTTTGGTAATATCTGACCATCCTTTAAAAACTTTTCAGATGTTTAGTATTATTTAGCTTCAGTCACTTTGCATGCCTTCCAAGACATTTAAAAGTTTTGAATTTGCCATTGGCTCAAATTGGTTAACTGCCCCCACCACCACACACACACACACTCACATCATTCTTTTTGGTATTTAACCTTTAGATATTGGTACACAGTATTATACTGGTATTGTACAATATTTGTGATAATTGTATTTTATGAAAACTTTGATTGTTAAGAAGCTTGAAATTGTATACCCTGTACTGTAGTATCATTACAGAATGAAATACTGTACTGTACTGTAAAAATGGCATACTGTTTAACTGCCTTATCAAGTGCTTGTTGATTTGAAATATATTAAAACGGTTTTGAAATGACAGCTCACTAACTAAGATATAGAGGGCACAGTGATTCATTTGAGATGATACTGAAACGAAAAAGTCTGCTCAAGGTATACCGGTAGGTATCTGCACTCTGGGGTGATACCTGTATATTGGGTACAATATTGAATTTGGTCCATTGGTCAACAATAAATTAATTTGTAAATAAAAGAATTGCCATATTATGAGTGCAGGACTTGTAATGGTATTAACCTCTTCGTCTCCTTCCCCACAGGAGTTTGTAATGGATGTCTTGGTAAAGGTTATAAGAATTGCTGAATTTTCTTACTTAGTGATGTTCTAAAGTTTGGGGATGTTTAGTCATGAGTAGTAATCTACAGTACATTTCTAGGGGAAATATTCCTTTATACAAATTAATTAAATGCTTGTTGTTCTTCTTGTCTAATTTCTAGTTGAGTATATATTGTATTTTTAAGGTCGATTGTCTTCTTTAGATTAAAGATACTGTATTTACAGCACAGCGTGAACTTGCTCATTATCATGGCTCGTACACTTGAATAGAACCTCTACTTGCAATGCTGTACTTCTCAAACTTAATGAATAACAATCAGTAATTCGGTATACTGAAACTTGACCATACAGTTCAGGTGTTCATTTTATGGTTTAGCATAGTTAATGCTGTAAAATATTTCCCGGTATTGTACATAATTTCTTATTGAGAGGATTGAGGGGAAGTGTGGAAATCTTCATGTAGAAATCCCAAAGCTTTGATTTAGACTAAAATATCATTAGTGTTTACTTTACACTTGCAAGCTTTTGACTGTTGTATTATAGGATGCCCAGGAGTGCAGATCCCCTTCATGTGCTGTCCATCTTTCACCCTTAAATGTTGGATTTATTTTTTGAATACCTATGCCGTACTTGTATTTCTTAAGTCTTGTGCAAATACAAACATTTTATCTTGAACGTGATGTAGGCAGTCTGTATTAAATATACTGTACTGTACTTTTCATAAATAATCAGTAAGAAGCATTAATGCTGTACAGTACTGTATTTAATATTTTTGTGTTCTGTACCCATAGCTTCAGTCATGAGGTGCAGTTTTTCACCTGTTATTATGAATTAAATATTTCCATATCATTAGTGTATATTTAAATTTATTGTTTTACATTAAGTACATTTCATCAAGGCTATGTTAAGCTGTTTTTATTCTCTTAAGAAGTTAATAATAGAAGACAACTAACTCTTCCTGTATGATTTTAATTGGTTTGTTACAAGTTTTGGTAGATACCAGATATCCTCTTACCAAAAGAAAACATTCCTGAACCAATCAGTAAATGCATCACCAGAAGAATAAAATCCTTCAGCATTCAATGCTGTTACTTCTTCATCAGGGTTCCTTGAAGAGACCTAGAAAGTTTTCTTAAAGTTGCATTAGTACTTCAAGAAAATTATGGCTTTCATGTACAGTACAGTGCATGTACTACATACTATACTGGAGGTATTGCAAGAAATTCAGCAGGAATGCTTAGCACACTTGCCTGTGAAGTATTCCAGTGATAGGGTAGTAATTCTACATTATATTTTGTTTCATGACATAGAATGTACTGTACTCATAATAATTAGGAATTAAAATTGGTCATTTACCTGTACAGTACTGATAACTGAAGTAAGAATGAAAAATATCAAGACTTGTAAGATCAAATAAAGTTTTAAGTAGATGTACAGTAGCTAAAACAACTAGCTGTGCAAACTTTGTGGGAAAGAATGAGACCGTGGACGATAAATTTGGGCATATGAGGGCTGTCACTAGTCACACGTAAAATTTTGAAGCATATCGACCCCCACCTGCACAGATAGTTGTTATAGCTACTGTACAATACCAGCAGGAAATTTACAGGAAGTGAATCCTAGTTGTAATTACTGTAAATGTACTGTACTGTATTATCTTCCAAATTAAATAATTGTTTAAAGATGTTACATAATATATTTTAGCTGTAATGATATATTAAGAGTAATGTTTTTATATATATATATATATATATATATATATATATATATATATATATATATATATATATATATATATATATATATATATATATATATATATATATATATATATATATATATATATATATAAGTAAATCACTGTACGTGATCTAGGTACAGTATGTGCTGATAACCACAAGGAAAAAACAGCAGACCTGGAATTATACAATATATATATATATATATATATTATAGTATATATATATATATATATATATATATATATATATATATATATATATATATATATATATATATATATATATATATATAAATAATGTTTAATTTTTGTAGCTAATTAAATCCTCTTCTCTCCTGCTTATTGTGCAATTCTGCTAATTAGCTTATCTAGCCTTTGAGGAAATTTTGAAATGGGTTGAATCTTTTTCAACTTTTTCTTTTTGGTAGCTGTGTAATTCATGTCAGGGTTAATTCAGGGATTTATTACAGGCCTTGGTGCAGCCTCACATCACAGTGGTATCTCGTTCGACACGCAACCAAAGGGCTCCCGGTGTGAGGGCTTGGGGAGGAGAAACGTTAGGCAAGTTGCTCTTCACTTGCTGCTTTTGTATACTTGGCAGTAGGTTTAGGTTCTTAGATTTAAGCCAATGTTAGGGGCCACACTAACTACAAGAAATATAAGTGGAAAATACACACCCAGCTGAAGAAAAAGAAAAGAAACGTAGCTACACTTTATTTGATCTAGGGGGACTAACTGGAGATGTAAGTGTTAGGTTATGTATCCAGCTATACTGTACTGTACTGTATTTCACATAGCTACTTTTTTTTTACTGCATTAATTCACAAATCACAAAACATTGAAGATGCACTCAGGTGGATATATGAGGGAGGGGAATCTGCTCAGGTGAGGGCTAAGAATAGGGGGAGGGTGTGTTTATATGAGACACTCCATTACATACCCTCTGAAATATTTTTAAGTGGCAGAATGACCAGTGTATATTTTCCTCCATATATCCTGTAAAAACAAGTTTTCATGATACACCACAGGGAGACGTTAATGTATGGTACTGTACAGGAAAATTAATTTAACAAGATAGTGCCGAGACTCGCAGAAAAAAAATATTTATCTGCTTGCATTATTTATTCATGTACCGTAGCTTGCTTCAAATTGTATGTAGCCTATATACTGTATCATGTAATTCAGGTTGCTTGGCTTAACATTACACCTGAATATCCAGGTATATAGTACTGAAGATACTGTATTGTATTCACCGAGTCAAAGCTTGATAAATTTTTTGCTATTTTAGTTGATATATAGATGAATGACTGTACTGTACTGCAGTTTAGCTTTACTTTAGTGTTCAGTTAGTGTTTCCTTAATTGCTGTTCACAAAAAAATATTTTATAAGTACTGTAGTGTGCATTGAGACATCATTTATAATGAATACAGTACAGTACAGAATTCATAATTATAAGTATGTAGCTACATAGTTTATTGGTGTGTCATCCACATCTAAGGCTCATATATACATTGTTTAATACTTTACTCTGTTATATATGTTATACATGTCCTTTGGTATTGTAATTAAGAGAGTGTAGGTCATTAACTTAAACCTTCACCTCATTTAGAAAGTCCATGTGTTATATAAATTATTTTTTTAGATTTATTAATTGATGGTTGATTGGTTGATAAGTTTCTGTCCAGTTCTCTTTATACAAAAGTATATGAAAAGAAAAATGACCGACACTCTCTACATGTTCCATTTTTACAATCAGTCTTATTATGATTGACCAACAGGACTCACCACTGAGAAACACCCAGCCTTCTCTACCCATCAACACACACACAAGTCATGGGTCTCATGGTTTCCATTCTCTCCCATCCTCTTGTCCTTTGCAGAACATTATAGGTGATGTTATTATTTTCCTTACAGGTATTATGGGGAGTTTAGGCGGCACTGTTGCCAGAAGCATCGAGAGTCGCGGCATCGTGAGTGGTCCGAGTGTCGGTAACCTCGTCAGCAGTGGTGGAGGTAGCTCCGGGGGGCCCAGCCTGGCAGCCCTGTCTTCAGCGGTGGCAGCAACACACAACACCAACTCGCTATTTATGGCGAACAGTATTCAAGCCACGGCTGCCACACAACAACGGGCTGTCAGTGAAATGCTCAGACATATGCAAGGCCTTGGGTAAGAATTTAAATCTTTTTTTGTTTTGGATATCATAATATACTACAGGACCCCCCATTTTCATTGCATGGAACTGGTCATTATAAACAGGATTTCCAGGTGCTCTCTTCTGAAAGGACAGGGTCTCAACTCCCTGAGGTAACCAGTGAGTTTGTGCTATGACTCATGAGTCACTTGGGGAGGCATTGAATTGTGGAACATTGTTTGGGTAGCTAATTGTTTAATGTTTCAGGCAAAGAAGTATCAAATGTTGACACCAAAATTAGGAAGCTGATTTTATTTTCCTTCTGAATTACTGAAAGATTGCAATAAAAAAATTCAGGAAAATATTTACATTGGTTTACTATATGCTTTGAAAACCAATTGATTAAAGTAGAGAAGGAGGTGGTAATGATAATTCAATAAAATATGGAACCATAATAAAATAAAATCTGTTTGTTTACAGATTATTCTGCACTAATAAAGCAAGCTTTTATGTTAATTTCTTAAGCAGATTGCACAGGTCAATTAAATAGTAATTCAAAGAGAGGCCACATCAAAACTTTAACACCCTCATATACTGTGTAAATATTTGGTTATTATTAATTCATATAAAGATAGTTGCTGTTTAACTTTAGTCCTGCTTCCCTACATACAAAAGTCTCTGGATGATAAACCACATGGCTAGCTGACAGCCACTGTTGTTGATGCACAATATGGTTTGCCTGGGTTTCTCTAGGTGATGAACAAGAAACTTGATACTTTAAAGAGGATACCCAACATGGCTTGCTAGGCTGTCTTTAAAATGCAAACAACCTGATCTGCCTGGCTCAGTGCAGACGGTAAACAACCTTGCCTGCTTGGTCTGTAGATGATGAACATAGATAACTGGGACCTCTTCATGGATGCGTGGTCATACAGACCTAAGATTGCAATCTTGGAGGATTTTCACACATGAGCATTATACATTTGAAGAGAGAAGGCTAAATTAATCAGTGTAGTGCAGTATAGTGCTATGGTAACTAAGTTGTTCTTTTGTTTTCCAGGAACAGAAGCTTAACTGGCTTCGTGGGGAGACCATATGGCAGTGGGGGTGGGAACAGCATGATGGGTCTCCACAGCAATTTTGGAGGAGACTCGGCCCCTCCACCTCTCGATTTATCTGAATTTCCTTCCCTCTCTTCACGAAACACTGATAGCTCTCAACCAAACCCAATGGCTGGGAGACAACCTTACGGTGAGTTGTTATATCATCACCTCATGAGATACTGTACTGTATCAAATTGAATCATAAGTTTTTTATTGCAAATAGAGGTTTAAATCTATTAATAATGCTCAGTGTTGATCAGTTTATTAGATATTTGGTGTAGCTTCCTCATTCACGTTCACACACACGATCTCTTCTCATAGTCACTGGAATAATCCATTATTAACTGGGTTCGTCACACACTCAGTGGATGATTCTATCAAATTCTGCTTCAGTCTTCAAGGGCTGACTACATTGTAAACTCTTACAATCATGATCACATGACATTTAATCATGATTAGTGATTACTTAAACATAATCCTATGAATTTTTTTTTTTATTTCCTATTACATTAATGTAGACTTTTCACACATTATTGTTAAAAACCATTGTAAGTGTGGAAGTTGAGTGATATCTCATGTGTGATGTGGTCATTCAGAGGCTTCCAGCACTAAACAACAATCTGTTGTGCATTTTCCAGTATATGTTATGGGGGTCATACTTGATTTCATTGGTCTGTCTAGTTTTCTATCACATAATTTGCATAATCAGTCACTGTATTTTTCACAATTATACTGAAATTCAACTATTAATATGCAAGTTATGGTTGAAGGTATACATAAGATTTTATTTTATCATTGGCAAAGGCATGTATGTTGTTCTGACTTTTCTTTTTTCTCAACGAGGTACTTACTCCCAATCTCTTACTTCACCTCTTGCAGCAACTAGATGACTATTTTAAGCTTTTCATCACACAGGAATATGTAACTTAATTTTGAAGCATAATAAATTTCAATGTTTTTCCACAGTTGGCATGGTAAAGCAACCTACTCCAGAGACCTCAGAATTCACTATGAGCAGTGAAGACTTCCCAGCGTTACCTGGTTCTCAAGCGAATCCCACTGGTAAAAGTAAGTGGCGTTCCTCTGACAATTATTCACGTATAATCTAGAGAATTTTGGGTAACTGGAACATTTGCTCCCTTATTCACCGAGTAAGGTAAGAAGGTATGAAGAATGAATGGACATGAAAAATCTCTGGGGAACTGAATGGATTAAATTACTTGGAAATACTATAAGTATATGGAGTGTAAAGCATGCAAGATATTGGTTGGGAAGATGTATGACCACCTAGTTGGAGAGTAAAGATTCAGAGGAAGACTTGAGAAAGAAATGGATAGGCTATAATGTAAAGGTGAATTAAGTTAAGTGATGTCGGAGAAACTATTGTGAGTTGTGCAGTGTCATTTTAAACATGATTATGTTGGTATGAACAAGCTTGATGAGTCAGTTTAATACAATACACAGGGAATATATGTGAAACAGTGTAATCAATGTGGGGATTGATGAGCACTCATATACTCAATACATTTTTCTTTTTGTGCAAGTTAAAGGTCTATGTAAGGAAGAATATGTGGAGTGCTCCTTATTACTGCTCTAGCCTCTTGCTGTTATGTGTTTCTCTTCTTACACTACATATCCCACCCAGTTCCTGACTGTCTTGCGTTTTCTGTTTCCTTTGTCCTCCACCCCATGCACTTAGGAGTGGAGGGGTGATTGTGGCTAGATTGGAGGATATTTTTTTTTTTTTTTAGGTACAAATAAATTAATCATTGATAGAAAACAGAACTTACCAGACCATTTAGGAGAAATATATAACTTTTTTGCTGTAGATTAACTCAGATAGTAATTCAATGAGAGAATTAATATTGACCCACTTTAGTATTTTTGTTTCTCCTGCTTATTCCATGGTAGCTAGAATCAAGACCAAGTACAGTACAGTATACATTTACAATCTCCCTTCATTTACTGTTATTCATTCATTCTTCTTGTTGTAATAGATTTATTTTGTTATAGTACTGTACTCCCCTTCTACAAGATGGCTCCAAATATCTGTTGATTCACACAGCCTGATACAGTACAGTATCACCCATCATCGGTGCATCTTTCCCCACCAAAATCACCGAACTTCCCCCCCCTCCCCCTCCCTCCTTCACACTGCTGTTTCCCGGGTGCCTCTTCCTCCCTCCCTCTCCCCTCTCCCACTCCTTCACACTGCTGTTTCCATGGTCCCTATCCCCCCTCTCATTTCAAATATGTACCTGTATATCTTTCACCCCATCCTTCCAGCCTTTTAATTGGTCTTCCCCTCTCCCTCCTACCGTCTGTCTCCGATATTTTTTCTTCTACTTTCCAGCTACTCTATCCATGCCTCCAGAGCATAACCCTGGCCTGCTTTCTGCCTGACACCTCTTGCACTCCAACATTTTCAGTTTGTGATTATTATATACTGTACCACTTGCATATTTTTGGGGGTTTTGTTGTTAGAAAGAGAGAGACATAGTTATTGAGGAGATCTTTGTAATGCATGCATTTTATTAAAGATGAGTCCTTATTAAAAAAAATTAGTAATACAGTATACGTAGTTTGCTATAGTCCCTGTGAACTATATAATAACCGAAAGAAAGTTTTTTCGCCATTTTCAGATGATGGGTTTTCTAATAATGAAAAGAAATCTAATTCTACGACGGGCACAGACACCCCATCAGATTTGGTATTACGGGCAGCGGAAAAGAGCCAGTCTCAGAAAAGAGGGATTCAGACGTCGCCTGATGGTGTGTACTGTAACAAAATTGTCTTCTGATATACATTTTTTATAGTATTTGATTGCTTGTATTAGCTCTTGAAAGACATGTAGTTAAACTAGGGAATGTACAGTTGCCCACAAGTATAGTGTTCCACCCCTCAGTGAGGCCACTGAGGGGTGGAACACTATACCTGTGAGCAACTGTACTTTTCAAGAGATGATGGTTGGCATCTGGGTAAACTATTTACTTTTCAAGAGATAATGAATGTTATCTAATTTCATGTTGCTTTTGTTCTTCCTACAGGCAAGGTGACCAACATTCCCGGGGGTATGGTGACTGATCAGTTTGGTATGGTGGGTCTCCTAACATTTATCAGAGCAGCGGAAACGGACCACAACCTTGTCTCTCTGGCGTTAGGCTCTGATCTCACTACTTTAGGTCTTAATCTGAATTCTCCAGAAAATCTTTATCCAAATTTTGCCGGCCCCTGGGCAGAGACACCGTGCAGACCACAAGATATTGACTACCACGTACCCCAAGAGTATCTTACAAATCAACAGATAAGGTGTGTTTGGGCTTATTTTATCTAAAGTTAACTTAAAAAATGATGAATGATAAAGATGTATCTATTTAAGTCAAATTATTAATCTTCACCTATAGAGTTGTGACCATTAAACCTTACACTTTCATAAAACATTATTGTAAACACACTTTCATTGTAAAATAATTTTGATACAATACAGTATAATATTTACGTTACTTGATATATTTAGTCGGCTAACTGGACTCATTCACTATTGGAAGCTCTACTCTGATAGTCCCTGATTTGTAGTCGGCTGAAAATATGGTTTGACCCCAAAAAAATTGCCTGCAAAAGGTTTCTCAACTGTTTATTGTAGTATCAGGTGTGCTTAATAACATCAAAAGTCTACCACATTCTGACTACAAGAAAGGTCTAATTTTCAAGATGGCGTTGAAGTTAGCCACCAGATCTTTAAAATGCCCGTTACTCCTTCATTATTCATCCTAGACAAGTAATTTTGGTGCCTAACCCCATGTTTTGGGGATCTATGAATCCAATTAGCATATCTAAATTATAGTGAAGTCGTTACATAATTACATAATTTAAGATGGAGGACCAGTATGGCCGCCAAACTATGAAAATGCCCATTACTCTTTCTAATTCATCTTAGACAAGTAATTTCATTGTCTAACCCCATGTTTTGGGGATCTAGGAATCCAGTTAACATATTTAAAATAATAGTGAAGTGATTACAGAATTACAAAATCCAAGATGGCAGACAAATATGGCCACCAAACTATGAAAATGCCAATGACTCCATCATTATTCATCCTAGACAGGTAATTCTGGTGCCTGACCCCTTGTTTTGGGCATCTAGGAAACCAATTAGCATATTTAACATTGTGTAGTGATTACTGGTAAAAAGTTATAACAAATTCCATAATATACAGTTTTTCCCACTTAACGCGGTTTCACTTAACGCGTTTTCGCATATACGCGGTGCCTTGCCAAAGCTGAACTTTCACTTAACGCGGATTTTTTCCACATATACGCGGTGAGTGTCCGAGACGCTATTTTTAGATTTGCCCCACCCGCCACCCTGCCTGACTGCCTGTTTTAGCTCATAAAATTCATACAAATTACCAGGCCAGAATATAATTTACATTGCTGGAATTCTTATAATTTGGTGATCATTTTGAATATAAACATCATATATGGATGAAAATAAATGAAGAAATTTATGTAAATCTACCCAAAAATACAGTTGAAAAACTTTATATTATAAAATGAACTACAATATTGTACACTAATGTACTATAATTTTTATCTCGAGCAAAATATATGACGTTTATATTCAAATTAATCTCTGACTTGCAAGGATTTCAGCAATGCAAATTATATTATCCTAACTTTAGTCTGAGATATTATATAAAATAAACACCTTAAACCATAGAGAAATCACCAATCTTTTGTCTGAGAACACAAGGAGGGAGGTAGCCAGCGAGCGTGGGGGAGCGGGAGGTGAGGTGACAGACTGTCTGGTGTTTGTTTATTTATTTGAGATATGATGTGACAGTTGGCGCTGAAGGCCTGCGTGTTTATTTATCATTACTTAAGAGTGACTAAGCTCTTCTCATAATTTGACATTTATATTCAAAATATTCCTGGTCTTACAAGGAATCCAGCAATGTCAATTATATTATCCTAACTTTAGTTTGAGGTATTATTTATTAAAATTTAGTGGTTATCCCACACATCTCCTTGGGACGGTTGGTGGGGGGTGGGGAGGGAGGGACCGACCGACCATCTGTTACCCTGTGAAGAATTATTATTTTTTTTTATTAACTGAAGATATTTGTTTTAGCTCATAAAATTCATACAAATTACCCGGTCAGAATATAATTTACATTGCTGGAATTCTTATAATTTGGTGATCATTTTGAATATAAACATCATATATTTTGCTTTAAACTTACAATTTTTAGATAAAATTTTTTCTCTAGGTAACTATGGTATCTTTTGTCCAAAATATATGACATTTATATTCAAAATATTCCTGGTCTTACAAGGAATCCAGCAATGTCAATTATATTATCCTAACTTTAATCTGAGGTATTATTTAATACTAAATGTTAAAAACTCTGGAAGGGAGGATTGGTGGGGGGTGGGGGGGAGGGTTGGGACTGACCGCGCGGTTGGAAGAGGGGGGGAGGCAAGGTGGGGTACTTTGATTGACAGATAGTGTCGTGAAGATTATTTTTTTTTTATTAACTGAAGATATTTGTTTTAGCTCATAAAATTCATACAAATTACCCGGTCAGAATATAATTTACATTGCTGGAATTCTTATAATTTGGTGATCATTTTGAATATAAACATCATATATTTTGCTTTAAACTTACAATTTTTAGATAAAAATTTTTCTCTAGGTAACTATGTTATCTTTTGTCCAAAATATATGACATTTATATTCAAAATATTCCTGGTCTTACAAGGAATCCAGCAATGTCAATTATATTTTCCTAACTTTAGTTTGAGGTTATCCCACACATCTCCTTGGGACGGTTGGTGGGGGGTGGGGGGGGGAGGGAGGGACCGACCGACCATCTGTTAGCCGGCTGTGTAGTGTGAGAGGGGGAGGGAGTTGAGTCCATTATTTGAATGGACATTAACTTGGCGACTGTATTTCTCTATTTCTCTTAAGTATTAATTGTGTGCATGTACCATCATAAAATTAAGATGTTATTTTTACTACAACATAGGTATGTGCCTTCAAAAAGTGGAGTTTGGGGGTCGGGCCGGTTTCTATTGGAATTAATCCCATATGTTCTGTTGTTCACTTAACGCGGATTTCACTTAACGCGGGACCCTCTGGGTTCAATTGACCGCGTTAAGTGGGGTACAACTGTATTTCTGAAAAATGCCTTTGATCTGAACCAGGTTTACAAATAGTCATAGTCACACTCTTCCTCCTGTAAAGGTTGCTTATGTGGATTCTCACAGTTTTCAATTTGACATGGTCCACAAGTGGGTGTGCATGGTAGTCCGTATCCTCTGCAACTACAACGTGTTCAGCAGGCAGTTATGCAATTACAGTGGATCATCTGCAGGAGGCTTTCTGGCACAGCAGTTTTCTTGGTCATAACTGGCACAAACTGATTGTCCTCCAGTTTCCATCCCCAATCCACTGCATTCATGTCACTCTCCTTTCCAGTCCACACCATGATCTGGTAATACTTTCTAAAGCTATGATATTTAGTCGAGGACTTGGTAGGAGGGAGACTTTCTGGGGTAACAAATGACTTGGCGGAGACAATTTTCTTGATCAAAAGGTTGTAGTGCAAAGAGGCAAGTGAATCGGTACTCTTGCCACCAAACAGAACTGCCATCGCCTTGCTCCCAAGGTCCTCTATGACACTTTGCTTGATTTGGGAGCAGAAACGCATTCGCACAGGTCTGAATGGTCAATTCACCATTCACAAGTTTCTGGAACGCTGACTTTTTGCCAACACTGAAAATGTGGGAAGTTGTGTCACATCCTGTGAAAGTGTGGATAAACAGCAACTGAGAACACATGTCACTACCCAGGACTTGTTTCATCTCACTGATGTTGTACACCTTAGGAACTGTGGACTTGTCCGAACGAAAATAGAGGCCCCTACTGTTTGCTTCAGCATTGTAGAGGAGAAGAATGAGCAGGTCTGTATCCTCCCCTATCAAGGTCGTGAGCTGATGCTGTGACGCCTTGATTGCAGCCTTGACAATGTCCATGTCAGCATCCCCTAATGCATTGATAACAGTGCAGCCCTTCTTCTGTAGTTCCTCAGTTACAAGATCAATAAGTCCTTGTTTGTTGCAAGATCTGGAAAGGAAATCATCCTTTCTTCCAACAAACTCAGTTTTTGCATTGAAGCTGATGATCGGGCGGGTAATTTGCTCATGTCTCTCATGCGTTTTGTCTTTGATGGAAGGACCTTCACTATAGCCATCAAAAACTACGGTTGCTTTTCCATAATGGCGTATGGTAAAGTCAGCATACATCCGTGCAATGGCACCATAACTGTCGCCCTTTTTCCATGGCAAGCGATGAACCTGGGAACCACCGTCAAGGACATAATGTTCAGTTAGTGGGATAGAATCCATGACAGCTTCTTTTGATTTCTTGCTTGAATACTCAGCAACTGTATGTGCTATTTGGGGCTTGCCAGCTTTACGAAAGATTTCCTTGGCTTCAAACAGGGCTGTAGGGAATGGGCTCAGCTCATAGCTCATTACATCTTCCAGTGAAAGGTCTCGGGTTTTTGACAGAACCAGAAATCTTTGGAACAGCAGAGCAGGATCAATGGTTCGGCCTTGGGCAAATTTGATGGTGGACTCATGTGCGAGGGTTTTAGCCCGGTCTTTCCATTTGAATGAGATCCCAAAAACAGGTTTTCCAACCATTTTTTCAATAATCTCATTCCCAACAGTCTCATACTCATGCACATTCACATCCTCTTTGGCAACTAAACCAGTAATGATGTTTCTCAGAGATGGGTCTGGAGAAAATGGCATGCATGTGGACAGTTTTTCCTTGATCTTTTCCAGGTCAGAGTGATCTCGTTTCATCCTTGCTTCTGTTGATTCTCGGTGTTGCTCGCTGGTCGTGTAGGTGAGGTCATTGAATTCCTGCATGGCATTGTTGTACTCAGATGTGATGGGTATGGACATGGTCCATAATGCGCACATTTCTTCAGTCATTCCACTTCCATGAGTCAAGCCTCCACTACTCTTTAAGGACCGCATCAGTGTCTGCTCGATCACAAGGTCAGAGTTAAGGCCTGACCAGCACTGGTTGCTGCAGCGGATTACATGGAAACCCCTAGAAAATTTGTCATATACATCAGGATGTATAGCCTCGAGTTGGCACATTTCTTGGACATAGAAATGTGGTAGACTTTTGAAATGTTATTAAGCACACCTGTTACTACAATAAACAGTTGAGAAACCTTTTGTAGGAATTATTTTAGGGTAAGGTGGGTTTTTTTTCATAAATGCAGCCGCCTATTGCCAATATTTAGTGTAGGAGAACTGATGGTATGGCATTTATTTATTTTTGTTTTTTCCAATCCTTGCAGTGATAGCCATTATCATTTCATTGTCTTCTATTATTCATTCTTAAATGCATCTTTCAGTGCTCTTCCTTCTACCTGTTTGTGTAGCTATATGTATATGCAAAGATACTTTTCATAATTAATAATTTTAGTGCTCATTATTAACATTATTTATGGGTTATGATTGTCATGATTTTACAGGTAGGGATGGGTTTTATTTATATTTTATTAAGAAACTAATGTGGTTCTGAGTTGCCAACAATCTGACCTATGGACAGGGTTGAGGAACATTTAATCTGTTTGTAACTCAGGGACCCCCATACAGGTCTTTCTGCTCTGAAAATGGGAAAAGATGCTGTGACAGCAAATTTTGTCATGTTTAAGGCAGCCATCTAACCTTGCTGCCTTGGCCAAAAGTTCTCAGTTGTAAATTATGTCAGAAATTATTAGTGTACAGTACTTACATTAGTTTTATTTAAATTTACCTGATTCTTTTCTTATTTATGCATTTCTACAATAAACATAATGATTAGATTTCATGCTTGTGATGTCTGACCACAAACAATAACAAACAAATGGCTGACTTACCGAGGTTAGTCCTACAACATAGCTTTGTCTTTAAGTACAGTATGTTTAATTCTGTAAATAACTTGATTATGGAGATTTTTTACCTAGTATAAATTAACAAATTTTGGAGAAAGCAATGCCATGTGTGAAACCAACTGATGACTGTTTCTGTCAAGAGTGTGGGCAGGACAGCAGACATTCAGAATAATATGTCTGTGCCCCCCTCAAAAGGTGTCAGTTTTATGAGACTCCTAGGTTACTTAATTGTGGATTTCTGAGGTGCAGCTGTAGAGAATAATGTTTACCGGTATACACGTATAAATTTTTTTTTCCCTAGTGTCTTGATTTATCAAAGAGTTTTGTGTATTAAGAACTTGTCTGGGGAAGAAATATATGAAGGTAATTACCTTAACCAAACAATTTTCAGAGGCAAGTTAGCGCCAGTCAAGTTTGATAGATATGGGGAAGACCTCCTCTTTTATATGTTCTACTCTAATGCTGGGGATCTGCTACAAATACTTGCTGCATCTGAATTGTGAGTGTACATTCATGTTAAGGTTATTACTAATCACTTCTGTAGTTAGGTACAGTATGTCCAAACTAAAGAAAGAATAAACCTTAATCATTTCTCTTCAATGCTAAAATATCCCATTTCTAAACAATATATTGTATACGTGTTTCTAAGCAAGTTTCCTTTTCATATTTTTTATGGCTTTTTTGTGTATGATCTTTAATATATTGTTTTTTGAAAACACATAATACAATGGTAACCGAGTTTCTCAATGTCAGGTAAAATTATTATTATTATTGTTTTTTTTGTTTTTTTTTGCTAAAATATATTATATTTTTCAAAATGTGTTTGCAACACTCCCAATTAAATTTTTTTTATAGGTATAACCGGGACTGGAGATATCACAAGGAGGAACGTGTATGGATAACCAGAGCACCGGGGATGGCGCCTGTGGATAAGGGTCCAAATTATGAGCGTGGGACATATTTTTATTTTGATGCCCAGGTAAGAAAAGTATGCTGCTGTGGAGTTTGTTTAAAGCCCAACAGTATACAGTGGGGTATGCTATAACGAACGGATCCTACTACGAATATTCCTATAACGAACGGTTTTACCTATAAAATTGAGAATGCTATAACGAACGAAACTCCTACAACGAACATTATTTAATTTTTTTTTTTTTTTTTCTAATTTATTGTTTTTTTATTACAAATATTAATGATATTCTTTATTTCAGGGGTTTAGATGCATATTTATGCACTTTGTTACAATTTTTACAATTTTATATTATATTTTTCAGTGTTAAGTGGTTGTATTTGGGGGCCTGGAACGGATTAATCCTAAAACGAACGAATGCTATAACGAACAAGGTTCTAGAACCAATTAGATTCGTTATAGCATACCCCACTGTACTGTATGTGCTTAAATGAACAGTGGATATTAAGAACTGTTTTACTGCTTAACTTTTACCTTTAGATTTGAAGTGTGTGTGAATGACTAGTGTATATACTGTACTTGTAAATGTGGTTCCCTCAATGTATAGAAAAGGTATACAATTTAAAGCAAAAATCTCAAGTCTTTGGAGGGAAAAAAAATTATATATATACAGTCATGCGCCAGTTAACGTCCAACCGAACAACGTCTGATCGCATATACGTCTGTGGCCCCCCCCCCCAAAAAAAAAAACACTTCCGTGACGCCTGCTGGACCACCACTCCACGACCCCCTGACGGAAACACGATGATCCTTCCCATACTGGCCAGATATTGTGTTAAAGGAATATCCTTCCTTAGGCTTTAGTAAGCATTTGCCTCCAGGTGTAATGTTAACCTACATCTATTGAGGATAAAATCTTTCACCTACAAATTGACAATAACACATTTGCTGTAATCAGACATATCTAGTTGCCTCAACAATAGCAACCCTAGTTGCAATTGGTGTTGCAATTTCAAATTCTGTGTCATTACTAAGGAATAACGAAGTCTCTGGTGCACTCAAAGATTAAGAGAGAAAACAGAGGACTCAGGAGTTCTGAAGCGAGAGAAAACGGACTCCTATGATGGGAGACACAAGCACTCACACATGCCACTCATACTGACAGACTTGACAAGTTTTACCAACCATTAGTTGTGTACGTTATCTAGTGAATTTAGTCAATATTGTACAGTAAAAGTACACTGCAATACAGTGGTCCCTCGGTTAATAATGGACCTAAGTGCAAACCTGTACTGTACATGTACTAAAATTGTTATGTCTATTGCAAATATAGATTGTTTATACAGGTATTCAAATAAATCACTATCTTACAAGAATCCCAGCAATGTAAGTTATATTCACCCAGGTCATTAGGGTGGCAAATTATGAGAAGAGCTTAGTCACTCTTAAGTAATGATAAATAAACACGCAGGCCTTCAGCGCCAACTGTCACATCTTATCTCAAATAAATAAACAAACACCAGACAGTCTGTCACCTCACCTCCTGCTCCCCCACGCTCGCTGGCTACCTCCCTCCTTGTGTTCTCAGACAAAAGATTGGTGATTTCTCTATGGTTTAAGGTGTTTATTTTATATAATATCTCAGACTAAAGTTAGGATAATATAATTTGCATTGCTGAAATCCTTGCAAGTCAGAGATTAATTTGAATATAAACGTCATATATTTTGCTCGAGATAAAAATTATAGTACATTAGTGTACAATACTGTAGTTCATTTTATAATATAAAGTTTTTCAACTGTATTTTTGGGTAGATTTACATAAATTTCTTCATTTATTTTCATCCATTTACATGCACACACCATACTAAAAGAAACGTAAAAGAAATAAATGACCTTAGTGCAAAGCTGGAGTGCACATGTACTAATTTGATTACGGTACTAAAATTGTTATGTCTAGTGCGAATTATAGGTTGTTTATATTTAAATAAATCAACATCTTACAAGAATCCCAGCAATGTAAATTATATTCACCTAGGAAATTTCACTGGCTTTTTATAAGAGAAAAGCTTAGTCACTTAAGAACTGATAAATAAACACGCGTTAGACCTTGGGCGCCAACTGTCAAACGTACTACCTCACCTCCCGCTCCCCTCCGCCCCCTCGCTCGCTCCCTCCCTCTGTCCCTCCCTCTTCCCCCCCCTCTTCCCCCAACTGCCCGGCATTGCTGGAATCCTTGTAAAACAGTGAATAATTTTAATATAAACGTCATGTATTTTGCACAAGAGATAAAAATTAATCACCTGTATCACATTACAGTAGTGATTTAAGAGTAAGGGTGTAAATTTACGTATATAGTATTCCACATACACGTAAGTCTAAAGACAAAGTTTATGTGATGATCGGACAACGTCCATTTCGGTTAATGTCACGTTTCCAAGAACGTATCTAGGACGTTAACCGGAACATGACTCTGTGTGTGTGTGTGTGTGTTTTTTTTATTTTTTTATTATATTATTTTTTCCCCTCCAAAGACTTGATATTTTTGCTATAAATTGTATGCCTTTTCTATACATTGAGGGAACTACATTTACAAGTATATACACAAGTCATTCAAGATGTATTGTCCTGTAGTTCTGTCCTCTCAAGTTAGAAGGCAGACTAAAGAAAAAATCGTCTGGAAAGCAGAAACTTTATAAGACTTCTTATTAGTCCTTGAATTACCAGATTAGATTTTATGGTCATTTGATTAAAGGTGCACTAACATAGGACGTACTGTATGTTTTTTTTCTGTCTTCTCCAAGACATTTTTCATTCAGCTTCGTTAAGAATGGTTTGGTCAGATCATTATGGGCTGAAGTGGTTTGTTATTCAGCCAAAGATTTAGAGCTACCTGAACTGTGAAACCTCTAATTAATGGACTATATGGAGAGGAAATTCCATTGTATGGAGGATCCATTAGTTGTGAAACCTCGCTTAACAAACTACAGTACAGTATGTGATGGTATATCAAGGTTTCACTGTGATCAGTATCTACTGTAGCCTGTAGGCCATCCAAGGTCATTGTGGCTAACTTTCAAGCTGTCAAAGAAATATTATGTCCAGGAATTTGAGATTTTAAATATGTAAGAAGTTCAAACTTAGAGGTGGATTAACTTAGAATATGCAATGGAAGTATAGTTACTGAGAAACTTGTGTGGTTGTCTGCAGTTAGTGGACACTACATTTTTTTTGTCTTTAAAGGTATAGAAGAGATTAAATATTTATCAACCGTTTATACTCGGCTAATTGGTTAGTTATTTTACTAATAAAGTGTTTTGTTTTGTTTTTCTCTCCAGAATTGGCGGAAAGTTCCAAAGGAGTTTCACCTGGAGTATGACAAGTTGGAAGAGCGGCCCCACATCCCCACCCCTGGTGGTCTCATCCACACTCCAACTTCATCTACTCTGTGACCACCCACAACTTCTTGCCATGCCCAATACCATCCTCGCAGAGGAGCTTAGGCAGAGGAGCCTGAGCCCAGTTTTTGTGGTGGAATCAAATTGCTATTTATTAACTATTTTATTACAAGACTTCATTTATATGACCTGAAACTCAACCTGTCCATTTTAAATCTTCCAGTTGTATTTATATACCTAGTGTACAGTGATAACTACAATAGAAGTTTTGATAAGCCAAATCCTACTTCATTTACCATAAAGACTGGGCATTTGCACCCATAAGAGAGCCACCACATTTTACCAACATGGTTTGAGTAAAGTGCAGCTGTTTTAAGCACAAGACCAATGGGCAATGAGAATGAAAGGGGGCACCGTAATACCTTCATTAATGAGACAGTATTCAAGAGTTTATTTTTATTTTCATTTTTTATTTATTTTTTTAATTTGAGATTTTAATGTATTTTAGCTATATGCTGAATTAGCACTAGATTTCTAATATGGCCCTGAGTGTTACAAATACTTGCTTTTTTTGAAGCATAGAAAAATAAATATTATATTTGAACTTAATCCAGGTTTAATGGTGGCTAAAGTGTCACATTTGTAGTAATATGGGTGATATTGGCCCTTATTGCTCTACCAGGGTTATGGGCTACTTAACAAATGTACAGTCACTGTGTCATTGTGATGCAAGGAGCTTTGGGCACCTTTTTAAGTGGCCATTAAAGTCAAGGAATGAATAACCCATTAGATCGTGGGTTGTCTAGAGTTCATAACTGGAGTTGTACTCGGGTTTGTGGATTGCGAGGTTCCACAAAATTTTAATGTTGGTTCATTTGGCATTTTGTGCACTTGACCTGCAGATTATTTTGGAGTGTATCTTCCAGCAATACTGGATTACAGTATGTTCATTAAAATTGTTGCAGATATCCCACTTCATTATCTTTCAATAGTAAGATAGAGGAGTATCCTCTTGATCCCCTGGCTAATAATAATAATAGATATTTTGTTTTTCCCTTTAATGATTTGGTACCCCAAGATAAACGTCATCCAGTTTCTAGTATTTTCAATTGTGAAAATTTGATCGGCGAGTGTGTAAATGGTGTCCCAAGTAAAGATGAATTTAAAATTGTGGGTGCAATTATGGGAAGAGTAGATTTTTTCGTAATTATTATTATTATTATTATCATTTTCAGTGACGAAGAGACAAAAAGCTGTCTTAATAGTTGACATAACTGAGTTGGTATTGAGATTGATATCTAAGTCATCTTATTTCTCTCGTTTTTAAGTTCTAGTTTATGAAATGTTGCATTATTAATGTGCATCGCTCAGCAATCTAGTGCTTAAAAATTTTCCTCCTTCCTATTATGAATCTAGACTGTATACTCAGTTCCAACTCAGATACCATTTTGGATATACAGCCCAGAGTACTAGACTTTACATCGTACACAGTCTGTTCTTCCCTGTTATAGTGTTACCGTTGTTGCAAGCATTTAAGAGAACAAAATACAGGTAAATAAAAAAAGCTGGTAGCACTTTATCTACAGATTTTACAGTTGAAACTATAAACTTAAGTTTTTGACACGTTAAATGTAGTTCATGGATAAGGAATGGAAAATTTTTAAATTCTTTCCAAGTTTTTAGCTTATAGGTTGCAAAGACTTTAAGGCAGAGTTTTATTGTGATACAAAACATTAACTTGTTAGCCCAGTAATTAATGCCAACATCACTCTTAAAGAGCTTCCCTAAGGGCTCCCTTGAGGCCTTGACATATTTTCACTTTACAATAATAAAAAAGAGTACAAAGCCAATTTCACTACAACAAAAGGAGCAGACTGGTGATGGTGTATGGATTGAGCAAATCTGTAACATGAACCTATTCCTTGATGTTTCTTCTTGATGTATGTATAATTATGTACACAGTCAATATTATTCTGTACCAAATAGATCTTGTTTTACAGTACTCGGATGTCTTCTTTTCTCATAGGAGAGGAGGTTTTAATAGATACTAAGGGGATTTTTCTGCAAAGAATGGAAAATAGCTCATTGTTAAATTTATATTTTATGCATTAATAAATGGAAGTTAGATGTGTTTACCTCGGTATTTCCTAGAGGCACTGGGTCGTAGGTTTCTGAGGGAGCTTGTGGGTCACCTGGACATTTCCAGTCATATTTGATAACCTTCCCCACTATCTGAAATTTTACACATTGCTTCAATAGTATGGGTGAAGGCAAGAGAGTGGAGAAAAACACACATGAATGGATTAAATGAACTACTGAGGTCTAGAGGTGTCACAATAGATGCAGCACAATGAATTATTTTTGACTGCTCAATTGACGCATTTTGTATCTAATATTTAATGGTTATACTGTACCTGAAGACTCGCTTGGGTATGTAACGGCAAATATTAAGAAGCATCGAGTGGATGATCAAGATTCTTCCTGTGGCGTATTCAACATGTGCAAGCTGAGGATATGAGTAAGTACTTTGTGTGAATTATATTAAATCTTTTCTTGCTTAATGTAGCATGGTTTGAAACTAGAGCAAATACTGACACACATTTTCCCTTTCATTCATTGTTAAAAGTCTTCTTCATCCATCAGCAAAATGCCCTTCTCTTAGAGCTGCTAAACATGAATATTTCCACATAATGTTCAAGACCTTTCCTGTCACTTTTACACATGTCTTGTACCCCTTTTACTGTATTTCCTTATTATTTGAGGTTTCTGTGCTTTATCCATCTTTCACAAAAGTTGGAGATGTAATTCTTAGGAGTTCTCATAATTATTGTACAGTATTCCTTAATATAATATGAAGAGTATAAAGTTAGTTAGATTCTATAGCTAGTGCTTTTAATTACTGGTATTGGATCATCCATACTATAATAGTACTGTAGGGATAGATTGTAGAAGCGTTTGAGAAAAAAAATACTTGCACCGCCAATGCCTTGGGTGGTGGAATCTGGGTCATATCCAGAGCAATTCATGATGTTGAGGTTAATGTACTGTTTTAATCACACAATTATGCATAGGTTCCAACCTGGTTCACAGTTTAAGGCCCGTCCACACGATCGAGCAGTGCCCGGTGGGCACGCGTTAAATGCCCGTTATCGGGCAAACCAGCGGATTGCCTGCGCCCGTCGTTGAGTGAAATCATGGCCCGCCTGCCTGGTGGTTTGCTGCCGGATATGGAGTGACGACTCTGCCAGAACAAACGAAGTTGACCCTGGGACCCTGCAAGTAATCTTCCTTGAGTACTTCATACATGGCTTGACAAGTTGCAGGTATTATGTGAGACAAACTTTGTTTTGATATCCTCGTTCTGAAGTGACGTGTAGGTGCACCCAGTTGAAAGATATATGAGCGTTGCCACCTAGACGAGCCTCTGCAGATATACTCTCCCTCGTATTGGTATCCTGTTTTTTTTACATATGGTTCCACTTTCGCTAGAAGTTTGTAAAAGGTGTTGGGGTCCATTCTCATGAAATTGGTGAAGTCTTGCTCATGTCCATCTTGCAGTTCACGTAAAATCGTGGCATGACTTCCCAATACTTATTTATTATCTTTTTATTCCTTTTCTGCATTTGGTTCTCTTGCACATAGCAGCAATTATTCTTTTAAGTTTATTTAAACCACACCACTGGTGATCGTCCACTGCACCCGCCACTGCCCAGAGCCACCTCTGCTACCAGCGACTACTGCCTTAGCTTACCCGTGTGTGCAACAGCACACAGGCTTTGCCCGATAGCAGGCAAGCCGCAGTACTAACTTTCTCGATCGTGTGGATGGGGCACGGTATCAAATATGTATAATGGGTGGACTGGTGATATATATATATATATATATATATATATATATATATATATATATATGCTATATATATATATATATGTATGGTCAGTGAGATTGGGGTTGCCAGTGTTTCACACTCAGGATGGGATGGAGAAAGGAAACTCACAATGTGCTCACTGTATACATATTGTATTGGATGTACAATGCAGCTTGTTGCTGGGTAGGTAGCATGGTAATAAGCGTTGAGTAGAGAGAGCTGGGTGGTGAGGGTGCCCAGAGGAGGGACACGCGACTTGAGGGACGCCAAGGTCGCTGGCGGGAGCGGGAGCCACCAGGCTGGCGCGGAGGAGTTGCTGGTTGCACTGGGTAGAAAAGAGAGGCTGGTCACAGCGGTGTCAGGCCTTATAAGGCGGGGGTAGGTGTGGGTAGATAGTTGATCCCCGCTCCGTGGGTGGCGCTGGAGGCGTAGGCTGGGGAATTCAAGAAGGTTCGGTGCTTGTAGGGGAGGAATCCACTACAATATATTATTATTTTTTTCTTGGACAACCAAGAGAGGGAGGGGGTTTAAACACCCAATAACACCCCTGGGAATCCTGTTGGCAATTTCCTGTCATATAGTTTGGTAATATAAGTAATACTGCAGTACTGTATATGCAACCCAAGTCTTGAGGAATCATCTTTTATTACTGTACAGTACTTGTGTTTCATCATGCTTTATTTTCACCTTTTAACCAGCTTGAGCATTTACCTCTACAGTGTTGGTTAAGTTTTCTAAGTGTATAGAACCACCTCTGTTCTCTTTATATAAGTTACTCATAGAGTGCACCAAATGATCCACTTCCATCTTTTGTGTATCTGCCTCAAGCAGCCTTATCCCTTAAATGATGATAACCAAAGACGTAGGCCAAGGCGAAGATGTACAACATAAGAAATTTAGGATAAAGGAACAGGTTTCTAAAACCAGTTCTTTGTGCTAATGACCCTCCATTTGTGAATAATAAGTTGTCACAATGTTGCCCAGTACTTACCAACAGTGTGTGACTGACTGCCCAAGTTAATAACAGTCTGACCAGAGGCGAATAACTATTATTGATAAAAAGGAAGTGTACAGCAACATGATGGGTACAGTAATATGAACCAGCCTGAAAGCATAGGAGCAAACAAATAATATTAAAGGCGTCACCATAGTGAAGGAGATAATAGTACCGTTCTTCAAAATAAAAATAGCTATAAATTATATAAAAAACGGATAAATAAAATCTTACCAACCTAACCTACTCGGTAATTGGAAAAAAAGTGAGATTTTTATAGGATAAAATATACTGGTGAACTTGAGTTTTGCCAGTTATCTTACACGGGGTAAATACAGACTTTGCTCCCAGTTGTACAAGGCAAAGTAGATGATAATATAAAATAGCCCTGAATGTGGTCTGCTGCTCTCAACGGTGAAATATGTGCATTATCTATGAAAAGAATTGGTGGAAGGATAAAATATATAAAAAAGTATTCAAGAAATATCTAGTGAATTAAACGTTCAAATATTTCCATCACATGTCTCTTGAAAGAAAACGTAAGCCTTAACAAAGTGACCTAAGCGACCGTCTGGGCCTCAGCTGATCACGTCAACCAAACAACAGTACAGTAGTTAACAGGCTAACAGCTCGGTAAGGGTGTACGTGTGAGGACTGAAGTGGAGCCGGAGGGAATAACTCGCGTAAATTGCACATATAATGCAAGAAGAATTGCATTTTTAAAAGACATTTATGCCATCAAACATTATTTTGTAAATTACGGAGTTGTCGAGTGCTGTAGAAGCTAACGAGCCATCAGTGGTGAAGATTACCCACTTTGGGGTTTTTACTCAATCTGACCTCCATTCCTGTGCAAATTAGCAGTTTGTTAAAAATGAAAATGCCAATTTTTTGCAAAAAAAAGAAAAAACAACAATCAATTTGCACAAGAAATGAAGGCCAGATTGGAGTAGTAAATAATAAATAAATAAATAAACAAATAAACAAACAAACAAATCTCTTCTCGTACCAACACCTGAAGACAGCCAATGGACGAATATTTACCACATGTTGGGTCTTAAATAAAGAAAAAGGTCCATTGGCTGTCCTCAGGTTCTGGTACAAGAGGTTTATTTAGTTAATGGATATTTTGCCAAGACCGGTTAAGTTCCTACAAACACTTTTGGTAAATGTTTACTTAGGTGCTGTGAGTGATTTTGCCAGGAAAAACATTTTTGGTTAATATATAGGACTAACCAGCCGGGCTGCATATCGCCGATGCGGCCATCTCTCACGTCCAGAAATGCCTCAAATTTCACCATATCGTAGCTCTCTGTTTAATATACCCGGTAAGTTAGGCAAGGTTAGGTAGGTTTGGTCATTATTGCGTTTACACACCGTTCATTCCTACCACTAATCTATTATCATATTCGAATAAGACATCTAATTATAAGATAATTTTCATCTATTACATTACCGGCGGAAATGTATAATAACGGAGATAGCATATCCAAAATTTTCTCTATTTTCTTCCATTAAATTTCCTCCATTATCGAAATACCTCCAACACTGCGTATCTCCTGCGTCTCCTTCATAAATCATCACGCGCATGCTTTCTCATACACGTCACGCAGCGTTTTTGTTTTTGCAACCAATTAAAATGATTTTGGGTTTAATTCGCAGTATACTTGGCCCAATCAAATCGAGTTTTATTTTGGGTCTCATATTTCGAAATTCAAGTTCAGTTCTGACCATGGAAGTCTGCGATAGGTGTCACTTAAAGTATATGGAGCTGATTGCGAGTTTTTGGGGAAAAAACGAAGGAACTAAAGCATTTTTTCGATCACATGGTGTTCTTCCGACCTCAGTAAAGTGTACTAAGAGCAAGACTGAATGTAAATATCGCAAAGACCAACATATGTGGTGTTGTGTAAGAATCCCAAAATGCAACGATGAACAAGAACCAGGCCAATAAGGTAAGAAATAGGTGATTCCATCATATGGTGAGAGTCAGTTAGGTTTGGTTTTTCTAGTGTTTTTTGCCATGATTTTTTTCGGAAAATGTCCAACGAAAAAAAAAAGGGCTAATTTCCGCCAGAAATGAAGGTCATATTCGGTCTAAAAACACACACATACACAAGAAAAATATATTTTTGACTTTCTAACAGAGAACGGTGTGACAATGCAAATTAACCTGGGTTTGTTTGGTATGGTTGGTTAGGTCTGTTCTTCATAACCACAAATGTTAAGTAGCATTTATGTTAAAAAATATCCGTTTTTTTTTAACATTCTACAAACTACAACAGTGTCCACGATAATATAACAATGAAAATCCGGCATTTTTATAATTGTTTTCAATCAATTTCGCTCACGGGTTAGTTTTATATAGTTACCACATTTTTTCCTGCATGAATTTTGCTGCATTTTTTATTGGAGATAGTATTTTTTCCTGGGGAAAAATGAAAAACTAATGCAGGGTAAAACATGGTGGAAAACTGATATGATACTAAAATGATGTCTACGTGCTTTGTACATGAAAAAATTCATTGGGGATTATTGTCGTCTGCTCTTTGTTTACGCTTGGTCCAAGTGTACTCTCACGTTCACAATAAAACGTAAAATTACACCATGCCACTTCAAGAAAGTTGCTTTTATTGGTACCAGATATCAAAGTACTGTAAGTACTTTTTGTTTAATAAGGCTTCAGCTAGGAGCTAGGTAAGGTTAGGTAGGTTTCTTTGGTTGGTTTGGTTAAGTTCTGTGCATTGTTGTAATTTTTTATTAATTACCCTGTACAGTGACCCCTCGTTTAACGAACACCTCGGTTAACGTAATTTCGATTAACGAACTGCCCTCCATAAGGATCTTCAATTCGGTTAACGAAAAAAAATTCGGTTAACGAAGTTCTTACGAACCGACCTCAACATGTTTTCGCTTGCACTGACCGGGCAACCAGCTTTAGTATCAGTCTGCCAATACATTAATCGGTTCTAGGGCTTAAATTCCTTACTATTTTAGTAAATATCAAGAAGTTTATACTATTCAATAATTTTAAAAGTTTAATATTCAATTTTTTAGTCATTTTAACAATTATTGAACATAATTGAAGGTAAGTATTAGTTTAATGCGCGGCATCCAGCCTCTTAACACAGCAACAGGAGTTAGTCTCTGTTTTCACTGGAGGTAACATCTTGCTTGAGACTCTCTTCAACTAAACACTTTTTTCTGTGTTTAAGTCAAATTATTGGTCATTTTGAAATATATTTTACATATTGACAATATATAAAATGCAGTGCAGTGTTGATTTAAAGAAAATAATCTTGAATTACAAGAGAGCTAAAATTTTATGGGTGAAATGGCGCCATGGGGTGACTTCTCTTCCACCCCAATGCCTTCTCTTTTTCCTTCTCCTCCACCCCCATTCTAAATCCCATCATCATCATCATCATCATCCAGGAGCCTTCTACATACACACCTCAAAGTAAGTGAACTTTTCTACCATTTTTGTTGAATTTAGGCAATTTTCGGTGAGCTGGAACCAATTACCCAAAACCCATTGAAACAATGGTTTCGGTTAACGAACGACCTTCTGGAACGGATTGAGTTCGTTAACGGAGGGGTCACTGAGCTGTCATCCAAAGAACATCTGTGGAAAACTGAAGGAAGTCAAATGTGTTCTGATACTTATAGCAAATTTATATTTTTTGAGTTATATTGACAAAGATTTCACTTAAGAAATATATAAGTTTGTGGGATACATTGTTACATGACTAAAACCCGCTAAGCAGCACAATTAAGAAGTCACATGGTAATCCTACATAAATGTCTAGGCTTTTGAATTTGACATGGTTAGTTGCCTATGGTGTTTTGCAAATTTCTGTAAAGTGTCCTAAGTGTGGTTAGATTCTTATGATACACCATGAAAAACATCAGAATAACCTATTTTTGTTAGTACAGTGTAGCTTACTGTATGTGGCCAGTTGTCAATTTTCTCTTTGTTAGGCTCACATACATATGTACGTGTAGGAGATCTTGCACTAAGGATGGAGGTGAGAAGGGAAACTCACAATGGCGTTTTCTATATATACTCTGTATATATATATTATATGTACAATGCAGTGCTAGGGAGTTGCTGTGTGGTGAGGAGCTTGTTAAGAGGAGGTCTTGTCTGTTTGAGAGCGTTGGGTAGAATCCTCTTCACGGCGAGGCTGGGGGGTATTTATACGATTCTGCCGGAAGTGAGCGGCGCTGCCGATTGGCTGAGGTGAAAGACTGTAACTGGCCAAACACCGCGCAGTCCGAAAGCGAGGATTGGTCTGAGGAACTCGCCGTGGGTTGGCTGGTAAGCGACAAATCGGCAGTTGTAGGGGAGAGTATCCACTACAACAGTACATACAGTAATTTCCGTGGTTGCCCTCTATTGAATTTCCTGGTTTTTCTTCTTAGAATATAAATTCCAAAAGTTATACAATCCTGTACATGAAGATTCCATCAAAAGAATGGAGGTTATACCTAGGTATTGTACTTGTATCCACATCTTTTTATTAAAATTTTCCAAATTTTTTTTTAAAATTTTCCAATTATGAAACAATATATATTGCAGGAACTTGGAGGAGGCAGTGAACAAATTAATTAATTTATGATATTTTCTTTCCAGACATGGCATCCACAATAAAAAAAATGCATACCTTGCGAAGCCTTGTCAGAGAGTTACGCAGGTCTCTCCCCAAACACGAGAGGGTGCAGCACTCCCCTACTTATTCATACATAATGAACCAGTACCGTCAAAATGCTGTCACAGATGAGCTGTATTGCCGTGAACAAGAAGAGATGGCTCACCTTGCCCAGACTTGTGCCACCTATTTAGAATCCAGCAGAAGGCAAGTAATTACAGTATTGTATTGAATTGTATATTACTATTGTACTTACCAGGGTAGATTATTTTTAGTTCAATAAATTCATAATGCTACGGTACTCTAATAGACAAGTGCCAGTTAATTTTTACTGATTGTTTAGGTGATGGTGAATCCCATTGATTTTGATCTTCCACCCTTATCCCTAACAATCTTTCCATTTCACTTAACAATCCACTTCCTTGTTTTGTTATCACAATTGAGTGTAGATACTTTTACATATTCAAGAAAGTTCTTTTTGTCTTTCAAAATTGTTCCGACTGTTGACCGACTGAAGCCCAATGCTTTACCAATGACTGAGGGTGTTTCGCCTTTTTCAGAACGTTTAATTACATCAACTTTCACTTCCATTGTAATTGTTTTCCTTCTCTTGGATACACTACTATTACAGTACTTGCATCAGGTTTGCATTTGGGAACCATGACGAGGGCAAAAAAGGAGAGTTAATAAGCCAAAAAAAAAACTACAGTTTGCACTAGATCACACACGTTAATGCAATGAGGGTAAAGCGTGCTAACACTCCCTCAAGGTGTATGGCTGGGCAACGCTTCACTCCTAACCCGCCGCTCTGCCTTACGTCTATGCCACGTAAACTAGTTCTTGTACATAAATACTGTACTACGAATCAGTTGTACTTACGTCGGATTCTTAAAGTAATTGGCCTTATGGTTGCTAGTTCGTATTGGCGGGCGTCGTAAGTAAGACGTTAGTAAGTCGGGGACCCACTGTACATCCATATAAAAGTATGATCAAATTTAATTGAGTTAAAGTAATATCTCCATTAGCCGGAATCCCTCAAACTCGGAACTCTCCGATAGCCGGATTTGAAATTTTCTCGGAAAATCGTTCCCAAAGCTGCAATTTTCCGGACAATTCCGGCTTTGGGAACGATTTTCCTGGTACGGGTACCCGGAAAATTCTGGGGATGGGGAGATTTTTCCGGGTTTGCGAGTTTAAAATTGGGCATTTTCTGGAAACTGAGAAAAATTTTCCGTCGCCCAGAAAATTCCGGGGATGAGGGATATTTTTCCGGGTTTGAGAGATAATGTAATCGACAATTTCTGGAACTTCCGAGAAAATTTTTCCGTTTCCCGGAAAATTCCAGGGATGAGGGATATTTTTTCCAGCTTTGACAGAGTCGTCTTGTTGCCAGGAAATCTCTCATTTCCGGAAGTGCTCTGCACCAATTGTTCCGGCTAACGGAGATATCACTGTACTATCGAGTGCTTTATGATGAGCAATATCATTTATCAGTGTTATCACAAAATTATCAATCACTAAAATTTTCATAGCGTTGACCTAAAACATTAAAAAACAAATTAAAATAATTCATTTTATATAATTAATCCCAAAATCTAGGGATGGCCAATGCAAACTGTCTCCCACGATGGTAACTTGCTCAGAACATTAGCTGCATCATTTCAATGGTTAAATAAATACTGCAGGTGGAGCTTATCTGCTCCAAAACAATCCATCATGTCTTCAATGAAGTTTTTTGTTCTATCTAACACCTTTTGGCAATACTGTACACGCTGCACATGCTCAATCTAGCCAAGTATTCAGTTGACACTGTTGATCGACGCCGTGTCTTGACACGTCTCAGCATGGTAAATGACTGCTCTACTTCACAAGTGGAGGCTGGAAGTGTGAAGGAGATCAATAGGGCTTCTAAAATAGCAGTAAACAAATCACACTACTTTACAAGATCCGTCTAGGACAAGGTTGGACCGAAATAATATGCATTTTTCTTCTGGGAATTTTGACACTCCATATTTCAAACCAGGACTGTGACTCCTCAGCAAAATTATCAGTGTTATAGATATCAATTTACTAAGCCATTTTTCATGCATTCAACAACCAGTTGATATTTTCTCTCATTGCAACCACAACTTGGTTTGCAAGTGACATGCTTGGTAAACATGAAGGCATCGTAGCAGATCTTCGAAACACGCTTATAACTCAATAATTTCCCTGGTAATAGTGTGTTAAAATTTAAAGAAAAAGTAATACAAATTGTCCCCAACGATACTGAGCTCAGAGATTTCCACTATACTGTATATTTGTTTTTGCTCTTATTTTCATCTATGAATTATAATACTTCCTGTAGTAACGAATATTGTATACTGTTCGTAAATGTGTCATATTGTACTAGACTCTGCTGCCATATGGCATCACGAAAATTGTGACCAAGTTCCAGGTTGCTGATCTGACTTTCTGCCTCATTTACATACAATTGCAGGGTCTCAATTGTTCCCCTTTCTTTGACAACTCAACATACTGTACATACAGTATAGCGTTTCTCACTGTTGATCTTTTTTAATTTTTGCATATCTTTATAGTTCTTTATTATTATTATTATTATTATTATTATTATTATTATTATTATTATTATTATTATTATTGTTGTTGTTGTTGTTATGATTATTATCAGAGTTATTATTTTTATTATGATTTCTTCTTTTAATTTTGCATTTACCGTATACAGTGACCCCTCGTTTAACGAACGCCTCGGTTAACGAAATTTCGGTTAACGAACTGCCTTCCATAAGGATCTTCAATTCGGTTAATGAACAAAAATTCGGTTAACAAATTTCTTACGAACCGACCTCAACATGTTTTCGCTTGCACTGACCGGGAAACCAGCTTTAGTATCGGTCTGCCAATACAGTAATTGGTTTTAGGGCTTAAATTCCTTACTATTTTAGTAAATATCAAGAAGTTTATACTATTCAATAATTTTAAAAGTTTAATATTAACTTTTTTAGTCATTTTAACAATTATTGAACATAATTGAAGGTAAAGAAACTAGTTTCTGGCATGCCATCCAGCCTCTTAACACAGCAAACAGGAGTTAGTCTCTCTCTGTTTTCACTGGAGGTAACATCTTGCTTGAGACTCTCTTCAACTAAACACTTTTTTTCTGTGTTTCCAAGCAAATTATTGGTCATTTTGAAATATATTTTACATATTGACATTATATAATGCAGTGCAGTGTTGATTTAAAGAAAATAATCTTGAAATACACCAAGAGAACTAAAATTTTATGGGTGAAATGGTGCCATGGGGTGACTTCTCTTCCACCCCAATGCCTTCTCTTCTTCCTTCTCCTCCACCCCCATTCTAATTCCCATCATCATCATCATCCAGGAGCCTTCTACATACACACCTCAAAGTAAGTGAACTTTTCTACCATTTTTGTTGAATTTAGGAAATTTTCGGTGAGCTGGAACCAATTACCCAAAACCCATTGAAACAATGGTTTCGGTTAACGAACTTTTCGGTTAACGAACAACCTTCTGGAACGGATTGAGTTCGTTAACCGAGGGGTCACTGTATACCCGTGTATAGCACGAGTTCTTAAGACCAAATTTTTTGGCAAAAAGTTGGGGGTCGACCTCTATACGGGTAATAGTTTCGTTAGGTTGAAAAATATTTACCAGTAACTACCAGTAAACAATGGAAACGACGCACCAACGCACCACCCGCTGTGAGTGTCGGTACAGTTGCCAGGGCAGATCTCTTGCGTCATCATAGCAAGCCCAAAGTAGCCAAATGCATGGTATGGTATGCACAGGAGTATGTAAAACATAAAGTATTCTTTTTTAAAATTTTATTTATAGATACATAAATTTTTTTTAATTAAATTTGAAACATCAATCTTTGTTAATTAAATTTGAAACAAAAGAAAAATACGATACCTTATTTTTAAATATTTTCATTAAAATATTACATCACAAGTATATTTTACCTTAACTGTGCCTGAATGAATATATTCTCAGAAGTAAATATGGAAATATAATATTTTTGCTGAAATGACGTACGTATTACAGTGGAAAGTGGGATAAAATTGTGACGAAAACAATGACTCACTTTCTTTCGTCGTTCAAAAGATTTTACCGTAATCGCTTTTCGAATGGTTTTCAGTTAAAAAACTGTTGTATTACAATAATATTCTATCCTAATTGACTTGAATAAATACTACGATACCATATTTCTGAATATTTTCATTAAAATCCATCAAAATCATTTTCCTTATCATCTGCAGCACCAAACAGCTCCTCCCAGTCCTCTCCTTGAACAGCATCGTCATATGGATCAACACCATCATCAGCCATAGGATCATCAATATCTTCATCCTCATTCATGCTCTCATTAGCCTCATAATCCCACAAGTCGTCTTCTGTTCCATCAAGAGCATTCGAAATCCCACATTTCTTAAAAGATTTCACCACAATTTCTGGTCTGATTGCATCCCAGGCCTCTACAATCCATTCACATAATGTTGCTAGTGATGGAGCTTGGATGTTGCCTCCCTTTGTGTATGTCTTATTGCCTTCTATCATCCAGTTGTTCCACTTCACTCTTACCGCATCTTTAAATGGTTTGCTTATGGAAACATCCAGTGGTTGGACAAGACTTGTTAATCCACCAGGAATCACAGCTGTATCAGTGTTTTCCTTCCTAATCCCAGCAGTAACACTGTCAACAAGATGTGACCGAAACATATCCCACACAAAAAGACCCTTTTCTTTGCGCAGTCCCCCTGGTCTAAAGTTCCAGACTTTTTTAAGCCATATTTGTATGCCGCCTTCATCCATCCATCCTTTCTCGTGCACATGGATGATTAAAAAAATGCTGTCTGACTTGCAACACTGTTGGTAGGGTCAGGTGGTTCTAACGGCACCTGCCAGGACCCGGTAATCAAATTTATAACAGTGTCTAACCTCAATTACTGTAGTTTATCTGATGTAGGCAATATGAAGTAAAAAATACCAGTTAAAGTGAGAAATTGGAAGAGAATAAACAAGAAAGATGTCATTGGGCTATTTTTGGTAGGGCTGAGGGAGAGAGTACCAGCTGTTTGGTCCTTTTTGGCGGGAGAGTCACGCAAATAACTGAAGTACTGGTATTTGTTTGGTGTCTTCTGTATTTTTCAAAATGAATACAGTGGGGTATGCTATAACGAATCTAATTGGTTCTAGAACCTTGTTCGTTATAGCATTCGCTCGTTATAGGATTAATCCGTTCCAGGCCCCCAAATACAACCACTTAACACTGAAAAATATAATATAAAATTGTAAAAAATGTAAAAAAGTGCATAAATATGCATCTAAACCCCTGAAATAAAGAATATCATTAATATTTGTAATAAAAAAACAATAAATTAGAAAAAAAAAAAATTAAATAATGTTCGTTGTAGGAGTTTTGTTCGTTATAGCATTCTCAATTTTATAGGAATATTCGTAGTAGAATCCGTTCGTTATAGCATACCCCACTGTATATATATATATGTATATATATATATATATATATATATATATATATATATATATATATATATATATATATATATATATATATATATATATATATATATATATATATATATATATATATATGCATGCATGCTTCTTGGGGGAACGTAACCCTCAGTAAACACAGCATGATCTAGAGCAGTGGTTCTCAACCAGGGGGGAATTCCCCCTAGGGGGGGAATTCAGGTTTTCAGGGGGGAAAACTGATTCGGGAGCAAGAGATATGTTCGATGAGAAATCAATCACAGAATTTTGGCCCTTGATGTGCGATTCCTACCCAAAAGTGGCAGAAAGAGCTATCCGTGCATTGCTTCCGTATGTGTCGACATATCTTTGTGAGTCAGGCTTTTCAACTCTGTTGCAAATTAAAACGAAGCAACGTAGTAGATTAGAGGTAGAAAATGACCTGCGTTGTGCCCTTTCAAGCACTCCTCCGCGTATCCCAGAATTGGCGAAGAAAAAACAATCACAGATTTCTCATTGACTGTAATCTTCATCTGAATAAAATTAATTACAAATTTACAATATCCTGGTATTCTATTGAACTTTTTGTTTATTGCATTATGCTTCAGTTTGGTCTGTTAAGTAATTCATTTTAAATAAAAAAAACTATTTTACTTTTATTCAAGTTTTATAAATCCATCAACATTTTCAATTGGCATTTAATTTGTAAAACTCCACTATAAAAATAATCCATGTAAAATTGTAAATGTATATGTACTAATATGGAAAAAATAAAGGATTTTCAGTATTATATGCATATTATTTGGAATGCACTTTTTGAGGCAGACAATCTTGGAAAGGAGGGGGGAATGACATTCTGACATATGGTGAAAGGGGTGCATGGGGCAAACAAGGTTGAGAACCACTGAGCTAGACGGTACACGTGTTTTTCGAATCGTTTTCAGTTAAAAAACTGCTACATCACAAGTGAATTAGGATAGAATATTATTGTAATACAGTTGTACCCCACTTAACGCGGTCAATTGAACCCAGAGGGTCCCGCGTTAAGTGAAATCCGCGTTAAGTGAACAACAGAACATATGGGATTAATTCCAATAGAAACCGGCCTGACCCCCAAACTCCACTTTTTGAAGGCACATACCTATGTTGTAGTAAAAATAACATCTTAATTTTATGATGGTACATGTACACAATTAATACTTAAGAGAAATACAGTCGCCAAGTTAATGTCCATTCAAATAATGGACTCAACTCCCTCCCTCTCTCACACTACACTCGCTGGCTATTCCCTCTCAGAGAAATTTTTGGGGGAAAACCACTAAATTTTAATAAATAATACCTCAAACTAAAGTTAGGATAATACAATTGACATTGCTGGATTCCTTGTAAGACCAGGAATATTTTGAATATAAATGTCATATATTTTGCACAAAAGATAACATAGTTACCTAGAGAAAAAATTTTATCTAAAATTTGTATGTTTAATGAAAAATATATGATGTTTATATTCAAAATGATCATCAAATTATAAGAATTCCAGCAATGTAAATTATATTCTGACCGGGTAATTTGTATGAATTTTATGAGCTAAAACAAATATCTTCAGTTAATAAAAAAAAAAATAATCTTCACAACACTATCTGTCAATCAAAGTACCCCACCTTGCCTCCCCCCCTCTTCCAACCGCGCGGTCAGTCCCAACCCTCCCCCCCACCCCCCACCAATCCTCCCTTCCAGGGTTTTTAACATTTAGTATTAAATAATACCTCAGATTAAAGTTAGGATAATATAATTGACATTGCTGGATTCCTTGTAAGACCAGGAATATTTTGAATATAAATGTCATATATTTTGCACAAAAGATAACATAGTTAATTTGAGAAATTTTTTATCTAAAATTTGTATGTCTAATGCAAAAATATGATGTTTATATTCAAAATGATCATCAAATTATAAGAATTCCAGCAATGTAAATTATATTCAGACCGGGTAATTTGTATGAATTTTATGAGCTAAAACAAATATCTTCAGTTAATAAAAAAAAAAAATAATTCTTCACAGGGTAACAGATGGTCGGTCGGTCCCTCCCTCCCCCCACCAACCGTCCCAAGGAGATGTGTGGGATAACCACTAAATTTTAATAAATAATACCTCAAACTAAAGTTAGGATAATATAATTGACATTGCTGGATTCCTTGTAAGACCAGGAATATTTTGAATATAAATGTCATATATTTTGCACAAAAGATAACATAGTTAATTTGAGAAAAATTTTTATCTAAAATTTGTATGTCTAATGCAAAAATATGATGTTTATATTCAAAATGATCACCAAATTATAAGAATTCCAGCAATGTAAATTATATTCTGGCCGGGTAATTTGTATGAATTTTATGAGCTAAAACAGGCAGTCAGGCAGGGTGGGGCAAATCTAAAAATAGCGTCTCGAGCCGGACACTCACCGCGTATATGTGGAAAAAATCCGTGTTAAGTGAAAGTTCAGCTCTGGCGAGGCACCGCGTATATGATAAAACGCGTTAAGTGAAACCGCGTTAGGCGGGGTAATACTGTACAACAGTTTTTAACTGAAAACCATTCGAAAAGCGATTACGGTAACATCTTTTCAACGAAAGAAAGCGAGTCATTGTTTTTGTCACGATTTTATCACACTTTCCACTATATTACGTACGTCATTTCAGCAAAAATATTACATTTCCATATTCTCAGAAATAAATAGTAGTTTCGCCGAAACGTGATGTATTTCAATGTAAATTAAGATAAACTACATGATGAAAAAAAAAGACTTTACCAAACCTTCCGATGTTCAAGATATGTTACTCGTTTTTTTAATAGTTTTCAGTTAAAATACTGTTATATTAGTGATATTCTATTTATACTGTGGTTGATATAATACATTCACGGAAATGTAATATTTTTTGCTGAAATGACGTACGTATTACAGTGGAAAGTGAGATAAAATTGTGACGAAAACAATGACTTTTGCTTTCTTTCGTTCAAAATATGTTACCGTAATCGCTTTTCGAATGGTTTTCAGTTAAAAAACTATTGTATTACAATAATATTCCCTCCTAATTGCCTTGAATAAATACTTGAATGGAAATATACAATATTTTTGTTGAAACTACCCGCTTTTCAGTGTAAAGTGTCGTAATAATAAATGGTAAACAAGTTTATAGGATGTTGTGTTTTTGTGAAGGCCTTGTTGTTCCTTTACCCTCAAAAACTTGGGTCGACCTATAAACGAGGAATATCATAAATTAACGATTTCTTGGTCAAAAAATCGGGGTCGACCTATATACGAAGGGGGGTTATAGACGAGTATATACGGTATTATAAATTGTAATTGCTTTGAACTAATTATTATTATTATTATTGTAATTATTATTACGTTTTTGCCCTCCAGGCCCCGATATGGGTCAGTGACCTGTGCCCGGGTGGGATAATCCCTGTTTAAAAAAAAAAAAAAAAAAATTGTGCAGTTACCCAAATATCATACTAGTTATCAAAAATTGAGAAAAAAGGAACAACCCACAATTAGTTAAGTTACGTTACGATATGCAAAGTATTTCTGAAAATTGCTGAGGCAGTTTTGATGACAAGCAGTCACGACTTAATCATGATCTAACACGAGGTATACACGGTTCCTCTGTGATATGGACATCATGATGGTTTGACCTGAGTCAACCAGCCAGGCTCAGGCACCAGTTGTTGCTATTGCCAATGACATTGTAATTCTAACACACAGAGGAGTTGTAAAAAGTACCGGCTTACCACAAGTGTCTGTTGTGGTAATGTTAAAGAACAAACAATTCAATTAAAAACTTGTAATATCATACACACATTGTGAACAAGGATTGCAGAAAAAAAAGAACTTTTCTCATTTTCCAGAGGGTGTGCAATGAACCCCCTTTTAGATGCCCATGATGATGTACAGAATGTTGCAGCACAGTCCTAACATAGCAAGAGATGCATAGTAACTAATTCTGCTCCTTCTGGGCAATAACTGGCTATTTGGGCGTGTCTAAAATGACTACGGTAATAATTTTTCACTGTATTATCCCCAAATTGCTCCAGTATCAAGGAAATAATCATATTTGTTCAGAATAAGGATAAGAATTATTTTTCTTAAACATATAAGGATATTTGCACGCATCATTGCATTAAAGATTACACGTACACCATATATATGACAAAACAACAGCTTTCTATCTTTGTATATCTCTCTAATATTCAAACACATCATCTTTGCAGATATATTGAACTGCACAGTGAATTCCACGGTCGTGGTGAGAGGACGGTTAAAGAAACTGCAGACATGGTCGGGTTTAAACTTCCCAATGACCCTAAATGATGACAAGGAATATTGATAATATTTAGTTTGAAGTTTCCCCCAATATATATACTGTATATACATCCTGTAGTATTGCTATCCCAACATTTTCCTAATGTTAAGTCTTGGTTTAAGTACTTAGCACCAAAATTAAAATTTAGTACAATTACCCTACTGTACAGGTATTAGAAACTGGTGGTAATAATATATGTGGAGAATCTTATCATTTTTAGTTCTCTGATTTTGTAAATTATAGCTACATCATTGTCACTTGTGTAGAGTAAAAACAAAAAAAAAAAAACAGGTGGTTATGTGCAATGGATTGTAAGGTTAAACAAGAAACTGATTGTTGGCTACCTCTTCCTCTATGGTTCGGGTACAGTACTGTACTAAGATCTTGGCTGAAAACATAAATCTTTTTGTACAGGTTGTGGATCCTTTCTCCAAATTCCAAAGACTGAAAATATAGGTCGTGTAGTCTTAAAATACAGAAAGCTGTGTGTAAGTATGAAGGCATATAATGATGGATATCTTGAATGAAGGATAAGATAATTTACATCAATAACTTATGATTGAAAAGCTGTACTGTATGTGTAAATACAAGTTTATCATGTAAATTCTGGTTGTGAGGAAATCGGTTATTTGGGGAAATTTACATTTTCAACACGTGCTATATTGTGTGATGCAATGAAATACATACCAGGTAACAGCATAGGTAAATGCAGTTTGTGTCTGCTGAGCAGCTGGTTGGGCCAGACTGCTGACCTGTATGCAGCTGTGTCCTTGCATATTAACTTTTAACCCACAAACTTCTCTATTGCCACTAGTATCAAAAATTACCCAGGAAAAATCATATGTACTGTAAAATTGTTCTAAAGTTATAAATACAACTGAACCAGCAACAACAAAATGTGGCGAGAAAAAGTGGTGCTACCAGGTGTGAGAAAATGTCATTGCCAAAACCGTACTCACTGTTTTATCTACAATCCTACAACAGTAAATTAAACCAAACATTACCAAAGCTTAAAGTACTGTATAAAAGAATACCCAAAAAAAATCATGGTTACTGTAAAAATATCTTCAATGGAAGAGGCAGGAAGCAGTTGTGTAAATAGAAGAATTGGATTGGTTACATTAAGGTCTGGATCAGTGCCTTTATGGTGTAGGCTTAAGCCCCTTCCACATGATCGAGCAGTGCCCAGCGGGCTTTCGGGCAAAGCCTGGGTGTTGTTGTACACACGAGGGTGGTTGGCGGCAGTCATAGTCGGGCGCTGGTAGCTAGTAGGTAACCGCATTGAGCGCCGCTGTACGTTTGTCCCTTTCCCTGTACAAGTCCGCTTTGACATTCCATAGGCAAGGGTGCTGGCAATAGAGTTCAATTAACAGCATGGTCTCTTCTCTAGACCAATGAATGTTTCTTTGTTCTTTGGTGTACGGAGGGCTAGACATGGTACAGTGGTGACTGTTGTGGCGAGACTGAGAAACTGACAGCCAGGGTCCCAGGGTCAGCTTCGATTGTCTGGCAGAGTCGTCGCTCCATATCCGGCAGCAAACCACCAGGCAGGCGGACCATAATTTCGCTCAAAGACGGGCATGGGCACTCCGCTGGTTTGCCCACCAATTTTGCCCGATAACGGGCATTTAGCGCGTGCCCGCCGGGCACTGCTCGATCGTGTGGACGGGCCTTTAGAATAGTGTACTGTAATGTAAGTAGGCCTAAACATTTGAAAACTGAAAATATCTGTACACCAAAATGTAATCAGCCCAAGGTTTTCAGATAAATGATCTTTGACCTGTACACTGTACATACAGTAATTGTAATTTAGTATAGAATTGTAAAACTTGTGTATTCATGGAGTACAGTACTGAGAAGATCCCTAAATCCTCAGATAATAAATTTTATTATTTCATTACATCGTATTTCTTATTCAGATTTGTTTATATCATCTTGATCATTATGATTTTTTCCATGAAAATTTTTTATGGTACATATTCTAATGGAGCTCAACTTGTTGTAGTACTTCTTCCATCATTGTTTAGTTATTTTTAAATAATTGTATAATAATAAACAATGGTATCAGTGCAGTGCTACAATGTCAGAAATTCGTGAGGTGAGTTATACCAAATGATGAGTAGGACAGGAGGATGTATATTTGGTCTGGAACCAAGTGAAGTCAGTGCAGATGGGCTAAAAAGAGAGTTACAGAGGCAGATTGCAAGTGAGGTCATGTAAAATCCAAACGCTTTCTACTGTTACACAAAATCAAAATTAAAAACGTGATGGAGTATCCGATCTGAGGCTTGAAGATGGTAGTTATGCAGACACAGATCAGGATACAGCGGAGGCATTAGCCAATTTTTTTTCCTCGCTGTAACAAGAATGGATGCAAACAATCGTCCTGCATTTGAGAAAAGGCGGTTTGACACTGCTGATGCATGTTGTGTTCTCAGAAGAGTGTATAAGAAACAAATTGTCAAAGCTAAAGGTTTACAAGAGCCCTGGGCCAGACATGGTGCATCTCAGAATGCTAAGAAAGTTTTGCATTGGGCTTGCTGAGCCCCTCAAGACCCTGTTCTGTAGTTGCTTGGATGAGGAAAAGGTCCCCAGTGACTGGAAAATAGCTTACCGTATATCTCGGCCTATAAGGCGTCGGGGTGCATAAGACGGCCCCCCAAATTTCCATTTAAAAAGTAGCTTTTGAGCTCTATTTGCTGTATAAGACCAGTACCCCAAATGTGACACTTACCCACTGACTCAGTAGTCCTTTACCAACCATCCTTGGTTTTTTAAAATAAGGCCAATTCACTTCAAGTAATGTCATCAAATGTTACCCGCTGGTGTAGTGTAAACACTAGTGACGTCACTGAAGCGTCTGCTATTTACCAGTAACTGGAACTAATGTCGGTGTCGAGTAAAATTTTTCCATTTACTTGAAATGGATTTACTGATTTATTTGTTTATTTATTTATTTATAATATACTGTAACATGTTAAACACACTGCAAGTATTTTTTTAAATTTATATGCTTGCTTCGCATGAGACGATCGGTGGTGGGAGTGTGTTCCCACTGTTTATACAACAGCTACCACCGTATTCTAATTGTGGTGTTTCATTAGGATTTGAGTGAAAAAGATTATGGTACGTACTTCACACACACACACACACATTTCACTTCACTTCACTTCACTTCACTTCACTTCAAGTAATGGCATCAAATGTTACCAGCTGGTGTAGTGTAAACACTAGTGACGTCACTTAAGCGTCTGTATTTAACTGTCGGTAGTTTCAAGAATTAATGCAGTCATTTACTGAATATTCCTTGTGAAAAAATAAATTTTAAATTAATTATAGGAGATAAGTATTATTATCAGTAAATATACCGATATGCATTACTGATCACCTCCACGGCTAAAAATAGCCCAATCTCGCGGTCACTTTCCCTTTCTTGTCTCCTCACTGGCAAATGGGGGGGGGCGTGGGGAGGGGTGTGTGATGATAGCTGTGTTTATTACAGGGGTATAATGTTCTTTTACGGTATGTTAGACAGGTTTATAATACATTTTTATTATTTTAATATACCGGTAATCTTAATTTGAATCCAGCTTGCCAAACATAAGTTTCAGTATAAAATAATTAGTGGTAGGACCTTGTGAGTGGCTTACGATGTTTCCATCACCACTCTTGACACACTAAACCACAATATTTAAGAGGTAAGAATTTTATACTTGGTGATTAAGACCACCCCCTAACTTTGGGCAGATTTTTTTAATGTTCAAATTCCGTCTTATAAGCCGAGATATACGGTATGTGAGTCCTGTATTCAAGCAGGGCCAATGCTGTGCCATGAATAATCATAGGCCAGTGGGTCTGACCAGCATTGTGTGTAAAGAACTAGAGAGCATTATAAGAGATGCCATAAGGGAACATCCACTACGAAACAATCTTGTAAACTTCTGCCAACATGATTTTATGCCAGTCCACTCCTGCTTGACACAATTACTCAAAGTGCTGAGTGTTTGGAGTACTGTCACCCAGTCTGGTCCCAAAAATATGCTAGAGACTGTCAGTTGACTGAAAAAGCCCAAAGGAGGGCCACCATACTGGTGCCTGCACTACGGCACCTCAGTTCCCCGGAGAGATTAGAAAGCCTGCAATTGCCTAACTAATTGAGAGCTCAGGCTCTCAATTGGCTCAGCCATGTCATTTTTGTTATTATTGTCCACTCTGTATCTATTTTTCTGGCTAAATAAACTTTTTTCATATTATCAATACCCTGTATACACTATAGTTGAGTAATAGGTAACTTTATTGAAGTTTATAAACATCTAAGGGGGCATTAATCAGTTGAGTATCCTTATCTGGAACTGGCTGATGTCCACCCCACTATGGGTCACCGCTCGAGGTTAAAGAAGCCACAAATTCGGAAAATAGTCCGGGCCAATTTTGTCGGAGTGAGAATTTTAAACTAAACAGTCTATCAGTGTTGTGATGATGCCAGTGGTGGATTATAGCTGGGGCAAACAGGGTGTTTGTTCCCAGCCCTAGATCTTGACAGGCCCAGAAATATTGGGTGAATAATTTTTTTTTTAATACAGTTTCTTTTTACAAATGAAAATATGCAGCTGTCTGGACATAGTGTGAGAGTGTGATGCAGGTTTAAAGGTGTGAAGGTCTGTGAGGCTGCTGTGACGATGTACTGTATGTCTGTGAGGGCCATGGGCATTTGCAGGGAGGTGCAATGGAGTACACTTGCACTCCCTAGAAAATGATAAATGTTCTTTTTTTAATTCACGTTCACAACATGTGTACAATGTTGCAAGTTTTTAAGTGAATTGTTTGTTCCTTAATGTTCCCGTAACGGACACTTTTGTTAAGCCGGTACTTCTCACAATTCCTCTGGAAGCTGGGCTTGGCTGGTTGACTCAGATAAGACCGTCATGATGTCGACAACACAGAGAAACCATGTATACCTGGTGTTAGGTGATGATGAAGCCGTGACCACTTGTCATCAAAACTGACCACGTATGCATTATTTTACAGTTAGTTTAATAGCAATTTTCAGAAATACTTTGCATTTGTAGGTGTGGTTTTTTATTTTTATTTTTTGCTGGTACATACTGTACAATATTTGGGTAACCGTACAATTTATCTAGTACAATACGACAAATAACTATAATCACTACTGATGGTTACAAGTGTTCCCTGAAGAATGCGGTGATGGGTAGGGAAACACCGGGTAACACTGAAGTCCGTTTATTAAGGGATAGGAGAAATACAAGTGGTGACTAGCGTGTGCCATGCACGGCTCACACAGTCAGACTGAGACTGCCTTGCCATATGGCAGCTTCGGGGCAATGTTGCCACATAACACGTGCAGTGTTGCCACGTAATTATATATATAAATGCTACTCGGCACAGTAGCTTATTTACAAGGTTGCTACTCGGCACAGTAGCTTAGATGCATAACCTACATCTCCTCCCCCTCACCATAGTCTTTGTCTTGGCGGACTTCTTAGTCCTAAGTTGCTCCGAGTGTCAAGGTGCACTGTGGGGCGGATCCTCGTGAGGTGTAGGGGACTGGCCTCGTCAGGGGCCAGCAGCAGGGTGGGACTGGCCGGAGGAAGCGGGGTTCTCCACCAGACACGGCCGCCGGCATCCTGACCTTGCAGTCCCGCGACCGGCCGCGCCCATCACTGCTGCCCACCTTGTCCCAACGTGTCGCCCTCGGGTCCTGGACGCGACAAGGGCACCAATCTCCAGCGCTGAAGAGGGCGGGATGCAGTCGTCATACCGAGCCTACGCCCTGGGCACGGTCGTGGCCCGGTGGTTGTTCATGTTCTGGGTAATAAGTTCAATATACAGGAGCGAACACAAACACCTGTATAGATTTTGTAGGTTCGAGTTGATGGATAAGAGATATGTACAAGGGGAGTAGCGTCAACCTGTCTGCTTGTCATGCTCTATAGGCGACGATGGCAAGTGAGACATTAACAGCTTCCATATGTTGCCAGGCACATTAATTAAGCATGTGACATGGTAATAATATTGCCACATCGCTAGCTAGGCTGAATAATAATATATATAAATGGAGCACATACATCATATACATACATAATATATAATACAGCATACATAATACAGAATATACAGTGGTCAGAGTTCTGCTCCTTCACAAGGCCTTGGCGGTGCAGGAACTAAGAGCGTGAGGAGGATGACGACAGGATCTGGGCAGGGAGCGCCCTGTGGGTGGGAGTGAGCCGTTCTGGCAGCTCTGTGCGGCAGCGCCAGGCGCGTCCTCGTTGATTCACACACCTGCTGGCGGTGTACCGAGCAGCTAGGATCTGCTCAGAAAGTCTCTGGGCACCACGCCTAACTCCTTGCAGTGCTCCCACGACAGCAAGGGTATAGCGAGAGAAGGCACGCCGCATCCATCCGTGAACGACCTGTCGCCGTAGGTGATTCCGCCGAAAGCGAGCTCACACGTCGGCATCTGGGAACTCATTGTAGTACTGCAGCTGCGGCGGTGGTCCCAGGTCTTGGTGAGGCCCAGTTTCAGAGGTGCTTCAACCCAATCACCGTGAGATCAGCGCCGTGTCGGTATCACCTGATGTGACCCGGACATCATCAGGTGGACGGCGATGCCGATGGTGGGGAAGGGGTAGCCCTGGGGCGCAGGGAAGCGATTCCACCCTCCTGATGTGACCCGCCTGCTGCTTGGGGCCGTGGGCCATCTGGAGGGGCTGCATAACCACCCCGAGGAAGTGCGCCGCTTTCCCTGTCTCGGGCTTTTTGGGTTTGGGTTACGGCAGCACTTGTCGAGTCCATAACGCACGCAGGCCTGACACTAAGGCCTCGTGCAGGGCACCTGTCTGTGTTAGACCAGTGGCCTTCACGCATCCATTCACGCAT